AAGTAAAAAGTCGCCATAAAAATAAGTAGTAAAGTAAAGTAAAAATATCAGAAAAATCTACTTGAGTACAGTAACGAAGTATTTGTACTTTGTACAAGTATTTGTACTTCGTTACTGCCCATCTCTGCCGTAATTCTACTCTACTCGTAAAGTCACCCTTACGTAGAATTCTTGACCTTCCCAATATGCGATCTACATCCTATATGAGATACAGGGAAATATTTGTGTACATTTCCCAGCATATTCAAAAAAAAATTTACAAATATATTAATTTATAAAATTATATAAAACAAGAATGTGATTATAAAACACTTCAATTCAATGATACTAGAGCAAAGTGAACTCCTCAGGCAACTTTATACAGAAATAAAGTTGTAGCATCAGGGCGAATAAGAAACAGGAAACACCTCCAAACCTTCTGAAGGAATACTTTGTCATATTCTTGGCATATTTAGACAACCGCTCTTTGATGGATTCTTAAGCTTGGTCTGAACTGCAGGAATCAGCAAAGCAGGGATGCTTGCTTACAGGAGAGGTGATGCCACAGGGCTGATCAAACACTCTGAAGCTATGTGACCTGAGGCAGCTGAAAAAAAAATGGTTTCTACAATTTTGTTTCAAACGTGTTCTTAGACTAAAAGAAACATCTTTAATTTAAAATAAAAATGACAAGCTAATATTTTAGACATAACTGTTCACACTTAAGGCAGTATTCTATTTAAACTGTTTTAACGTTTCATCTGCAATCACAGCACTTAAGAAAAAAAACATCCAGATGCATCAGAGTTGTAACACAGACCACAGCGACTAAGCTTCCCTTTAATTATCCATCTTTTCAAAGATTTTTGAAATTCCAAATTAGCAAAAGGAGATAATTTATATTGGAGAAGACATATGTCTACATACTTGACCAAACAGATCATCTTTTCTGCACGTAAAGTCATATGCTCTTCATATTATTTAGATTTGGGCTAGTTAACATGAAATAAAAAGTTACTTTAATGAGGCATGTAGTTTAACAGGGCCACTCAAAGGGGCAGGCAGAAAAGAAGAGTTTTCGTAGGTAAATGTGAAACCTGAGGTGTTTGTGTGCAATAGAACATGTAATGATCTAAAATGTAAGGTTATATGTTGATGTCCATGTTTAGAGTAGAGGGCAATCTAGATTGAGTTTGCAATGTTTCCACTATGTCAGACTCACCACAGGTAAGTGAAAATGGGGACGAGCACGTAGGATGGCCTTATGTAAACATATCACCAGAATGATTGACAATTAGGAGGACCACTTATTTAGATGATCCACCTGGAAAAAAAGAACATCCTCCACTATACCTTTAATGATGCTTATTTCACTGACAAAGGATGAAACTTTTTTGAAGACTTGTATTATCTTGCTTGAAATAAGTACATTTGAAGTTATTATAGTCAGCATCTACTTTGGTTTGCAGAGTATCCAAACCAAATTCTGTTCGTTGACGTGCGATGCTGTGAGTTACTTTAGCGATGGCCTGAGAGGATTAGGATCAAAGTTCCTCAGATCCTCTGAGGTTCTGGCATCCTGCTCCGAGTGCCCTACTGTATTCATTGATGCTGACACAGTAAGTAGCCTCAAGCGTTAGAAGTTGTAGCATTTTTTCCCCCTCAATGTATATCTTAAAAATGATTGAGAAACAGATAAACAGCTAAATTGTTCTTACAGATTATGTCCTATGGACTTCTGGAAAAAATGAAATTTAGCGTGCTGGAACTTCAAGAATATCTTGACACTTACAACAACAGAAAAGAGGCAGCAATCACTGTAAGTTAATACATTATGCATCCTGTCTTCACTGGGATATTTCCAGTTCTTTGACTTATAAATGTTATCATACTTTATAAGTCTTAATAGAGTTGCATTTGTTGCACACAGTGGTTAAACAGCTGTAAGGCCACCTTTCCAAGGACTGCTGGGGTCCCAGTCACATGCCAACCAGGAGAGCATGAGGAAAAGGTAAAATATCTTTTACTGTGGCACTGTCCCAGTAATTTAAATATAACATTTACACAGATATGTAATGTTGTTCACCATAGCCCAGGCAGTTTTGTATTCAGCAAAAAGCAAAGTAATTTTGCACAAAGAAAATGTAAAAAACTTGGATTGTGTTCATCTGCTCTTTCATACTGTACTTTCTGCATTACGGTTACTGTGTGCTCCTGTAGCTCTGTGAGTGTTACCTCTCTATGTCACCCACTTTGTTTCGGCCTTAAATCAACACATGTCATGCTTATAACCTTTTATGTTGAGTGCATTATGTTCACAGTCATCTCTGCTCTGCATGCTTCTTCAAATAATCCATTAATCAGCTATAACTCTTTTATTAAACTAGTAATATTTGAATCTTTCAGTGCTAAATTTCTCAAAACATTTATTTTTCAAGTGACAGAGTTTTTGCTTTTTAAGTTTTTTGTTGGCTTTTTTTTTTACTTTAGTTTATAATAAAAACTGTGCTTTTTTTTAATTCTCATTTGCACATACAGTAATTGTCAAAATGAATCATACCCCTTAAACTGTTTCATATTTTGTCCTTTTATAAACCTAAAGTTTTGTACATTTTATTGATAGTTTTATGTGACCAACACAAAGTAGCCCATAAGTGGGGACAACAAGTATCTTCTTAAGCATAAAAACCTTTTGCATGCATTTCTAAACTAACGTATACCTGCAATTTGGTTGGTATATGTCTCTCCCAGTCTTGGGGAAAAAAATAGAACATCTGCAAACATCAGTTTTCAAGTCTCAAATGGATTAGGACTGGATTTTGAGTCATTCTAACCAATGGATGCCAACCAACCATAGGGACTATGTTTTCAGGGTGACTTGCATTGCTGTTTTTCTTCCATGTGTCCCTATTATAGATGTAGGTGAAAACATTTAAGATTTTATTTGTAAAAAAAAAAACATCAAATACATGTCCTTCCTTTTCACAGTTGCATTACTTTGTGTTGGTTTAGCACATAAACTCCTGTAAAATATATTTACATTTGTGATTTTAATGCAAAATGAAAGGAAGAAAATATGAAGGGTGTGACTGCTTATTCTTATTTCATCTTATACTTATTTCAAGGCATGCTTAACTGTTCAGATACTTCTTGCTGAGTTCCAAATCTTAATTGCATGGCCTTTTTTTTCTCTTTTTTTCTTATTTTCTGCCTTTTATTATGCTTGCTTGGTAGCGAATGGAATCTCTGGCTGTAAGTTTGAAATCTGCTTCTTTAATTTCTCTGTTTACTCAAAGCTTTCTTCATATGTATTTTCACCTTCAGCAACATAATTACCCTCTAAATTCTTGAGGCAAAATCTGCCGTAAGTTTGTTTTTGATCAAAGAATATTTCCTTTCCAGCAATTGGAGCTCTGTCAAAGACTCTACAAACTCCATTTTCAGTTGTTGCTGCTTTTTCAGTCTTATTGCAAGCTGATTGATCAGATCCATGCAATAAATTCAGTTCCAGAGGTAGGTCTATTTCCCTTTCATTTTCTTTTAGATTCAAAGTCTTGTTGATTATTCGTGTTAAATTAACATGAATCCCTCCCATTCTGTAGCTCACAAGTATGTCCAGAGAGCTTAATGAATTGAAGAGGAACCTGACGGAAGCAGCAGTCTCAGCAACAAATGATAATATTTCAACATTTGACACTTCCTGCTCTGAGACCATCATGAGCTCCTCTGAAGCTGCTGTTCAGGCCATCCTCGAGAGCCTAAAGAGCAATGAGTTTCTAAAATCAATTACCTATATTCGGGAGTGCAGGTGGGATAAGTAAAATACTTGATTCCACATCCATTAGGAACGTATATTGTGGATTTTTAACCTAAATCCAATGATACCTTTATTTTGCAGAACATTGTGGCCTAATGACATCTTTGGCAGCCCCTCTGAGGATGAGATCCAAACTTTACTCAACATTTACTTCAGACACCAAACCTTGGGTCAGACGGGAACGTTTGCTTTGGTGGGTTCAAAGCAGGACCTGACGGAAATTTCTCTCAGGCTAATGGAACTCAACTGTGAGACTCGGGACATGGTCCAACGAGCCCAAGGCTACAAAGCTATTACAGCCTTTCTCCCGGACTCCAGGGTTTCAGGCTCAACTCTCTGATGGCGGTGTGCTACTTTTGCCGAACCCTGCATCACCCCAAACTTTACTACCTTGTCTGAGGCAGCTGCTATTATTTCAGACATTAACAAAAACTCTCTTCTCCTTTTGCAGAGATAACCAAAACCTTGGATCCTTCCTTTTTCTTTGAGAATCTAAATTATCTTGCGATTTTTAGACATGCAGCAATAACATTTAAAAATGGTTTACTTAACTGTTGTATCACATTTGTTCTATTCTTGCAAAATAATGCAATCTGTTAAACAGCAAACATTTGCTACTAGGGGAAACAACTGTTCCATTTAACCAATAGCATACGAAAGTGAAGGGATTCTGTACCAGTTGTGTAAATTTAATTGTCAAGGGAAAATGTGCAATCCTTTACTGAAGTGGAAGACCTCTCTGTCTGCTGAAAGAATGTATTGGAAAACACTGTCAGAAGATGGTAAAGGGAGGCGTCAATATCTTATTGTGTTAATTCCTTTGTGTGTTTGTGTGTGCTGAAACGTATTGGTTGAGCATGAGTGTGTGAATTAAATTATGACGACGATCACGGATGGAATTATTGATTCCGATTTGTATGAGCGGTTTGTGTTAAAGTACTCTGACTTGGTGCAGTCTACTGTAATGTCAAACCTGCAGCTACCATGTGGGTTATCTGTTATTACAAATATCTTACTGTACCTTTTAAGTGAGTAGCATTTTTTTTTTTAGATATGTCTATTATTTATATTTCATGCAAGAGAAAATATGCTTTCATCATCTAGATTTATAGAAATATATATATTTTGTTTAACTGGTTATTCCTGCCAAGCTTGCATATTTTATGCACTATAAAACAAATACTATGAGCATCACTACCAGTCAAAAGTTTGAGGACAACTTGCTGTATGGGCAACTGTGGCTCAGTCGGTACAGTTGACATAATGCAATTGGAATATTGTAGGGTTTCATTCCTTCAGGCAAGGCACTTAACCTCAAGCCGCCAGAAATTTGCATATGTGTGTATGAATGTGTGCCCGTTAGTGAGCTTGATTAGGTAGATGTGGTTGCTCAGTGCTTTGCATGTTATGTAAATTCAGTTCTATTACATTGTTGTTCAGTGGGAATGTGTTAAATATGTCCAAACTTTTGCCTGGAAGTGTATATATCTAGAAATATTTTGACTGACGGTTAATTTGTAAATAGAGAAATTGGGACTTTGTATGTTAGATTGTATTTTTATGAAGGCGAATTTTAAGTTGCACAAAAAATTGGTATTTACATATTCATAAAGATTCCAAAATTTCTGTTGAACCCTTTTTTCCTGTATATACTGTCTGTTTAGTCAATTATTCTTTTGTTTTCTGTAAACTTATGTAACAATAAAATATAAATTTGTTAGCTAAAGGCTTCTATTGCCATTTGTGGAAGAAAACAGCTTTTTAGACTACATAGATCTCTTGTAACCGTTAGCAGAGGAAAGCTAAATCTAAGCCCCAAGAAAAATTGTTTGAGGTGGACATTGCATCTTCTTTAAAGCCTAAACAGACTTTCTACTTCAAAATAATTCAATCTAAAAGGTTTTTTTTTTCTTTTCAGAAAATGACTTGACATAACCTGAGATGGATTAGCATTCAATTGATTTGTTTAACGAATTTCACAATTTCAGATAATCAGTTGTTGATAGTGAATAATCTTTTTATTTACAGTAATATCTTTAGCATGTTTAGAGACGTACTATTCTCTAGACTCCAATTAGCAGAACAACGGCTGTAAACAACATTTTCTTAATACTGTATGAGTTCAATTATGATTTATTTTTAACACTGTGAGGTTTCAAAGAGGCTCCCAATTTTTCCAAATTCAAAGTGCTGCAGGAGATGAGGTAAAAGCTCAAAATGATAAGAGCAAGTTTGATGTATTCTGTTCAACCTGTCACCTAAGCCATGATTTATTGCGCAGCCACAATGAAACCACAGCCATATCTCAACATGGTGGAGAAAATACAGCTTCCTTTGAAATAGCATGTTTCTAGTTAATCTGTCTTCACTTTTTAAATCCCATTAATAGAATAAACAGTTTGTGTTGTTCTCATATAATAAAAGCATCCACAGTAAATAGTATTATTATAGGCTCAACATTTTTCTGCATTTAATAATGGTTTTAAAAAAAACATCTTTGACTTTCCACCTTTTTTTTTTATTATTGTGATAACACTGTCACAAGTACAGCGCAACAAAATTAACTCTCTTCATTTGACCCATCCCTTTGGGAGCAGTTGGCATCCGTTGTGCGGCGCCCGGGGAGCAGTGTGGGGTTAAGGGTCTTTGCTCAGGGAGCCAGAGTGGATTATGTGGGAGTGGGGCTTGAACTCAGGATATATATATATATATATATATATATATATATATATATATATATATATACATATATATATATATATATATATATATATATATATACAATATATAAAATAAAAAAAAATTGTTCTCTCACCCCTCATGGGGTGGTATGTGTCATCCTCAAGCTCGGGTCCTCTACCAGAGGCCTGGGAGTTTGAGGGTTCTGCGCAGTATCTTAGCTGTTCCTAGGACTACGCTCTTCTGGACAGAGACCTCTGATGTTTTACCTGGAATCTGCTGTAGCCACTCTCCCAGTTTGGGGGTCACAGCCCCCAGTGCTCCAATTACCACTGGCACCACTGCTGCTCTTACTTTACACATCTTTTCTAGCTCCTCTTTCAGCCCTATTTTTTAATTAGAAACCACTTCTGTGTTTACCACTGTTCTCTATCTATTAACTGGCCTGCTGATAGGCCGTTGGTGGTACTAGCCGCCATATTGGTACTCCCTAGTTAGACCAAACGGAACGTAAACAATACCTGCACAACAGCATCGAACAATGATGAGTCTCATTTTCAGGGGGGCTTAAGACTTTTAAAATAAAGATAAAGTCATCACTTTGACACAACCTTGGTGTTTCATAGCATCTATAAACTACTATAATTTATGGTAAAAAAAAATAGGCACATAATATTACATATTTAGTATGAAGTCTATAAATCATGTAATATAACATATTATACAAATCCTTCCCACCAAAATTGATGCATAATAATACTGTAGTATTATAACATTAACTGGTTATGTGTTATATTAGGAATATTACACAAACACACTATCTGATGATGTTCCAAAAGTGCTAAATTGATGACGTACATGTAATATACATGTTTTGGTTAGATTGTTATGGTAATTACATTACATTATATGCTTATTTATGGCGCTACTCCGTGAAAGTGGGGAGTACCAATATGGCGGCACGTGACTTCAGTTTTTTCGGAAAGATCAGCGTTGCAAGCGGATGCTTACGCTAAAACATACGTCACATCCGGAATGAGGCGCGCGAGTTTTGTGTTTAGCTGAAGAAACTACGTAACAGCTAGCAAGCAGTCTGCTGATAGTTTTCTGTTGGTTTTCTTTGATTTTATGGAGCTGTTGTGAACGTCTGGTTTAGATTTTTACTGTAACACAGCAGCAGTTCGTCATGGTACGTTTCGAAGTTTTGACTTAACACGTTATTTTTTTATTTTTTGGCAATGGAGTGGTTTATTTCTCCTTCTATTTCTTCTTACCTTCCCAGGTGGGCTGTACAACAAACTTTAATCGTTATTTGGCTTCCGTGGAATGGATTCATCCATAAAAAACATGTTTGACGCATTTAAAGATGACATTTGGAAAGGTAAGGTATATCAACATTCATGGTTAAACAGATAGGTGTGAGTACATCATGTTTATCACATCTTTTCATGCTTTATATGCGGCGCTTCTTAAATTGGATTAGATTAGATGAGCTTTATTGATCTCACAGCGGAAAAATCAAAACGCAAAAAATGGCAAAAGAAATAAAAAAAGGGCAAAAAAAGGGGAAAAAATGCAATAAAAAAAAAAAAAAAAATTAAAATAAAACCAAGGTAATAAAAGAAAACAAAAAAAAAAAAGAATAAAGGGCAAAGGGAACCCAAAAAAAGAAAAAAAAAAAAAAAAAAAAAAAAAAAAAAAAAATAAAAAATACAAGGTAGTAGCACAGAGGTTTGAGGTGACATATGTACAATCCGGATGGCTTATATACAGGTGGATTTACTTTTACGTTAAAGTGTAGTAGGTAAGGAACAACGGTGAGGTAGTGGTATGACTATTCTATTCACATATATTGCACATTCAGAATATTGCACAGTCAGTAAATAAGAAACTATAATATAGCTGCACAGTGGTTTTTACAGGAGTTATTGTGGTTATAGTGCATTATTATAGAGTCTGGTGGCAGCAGGGATGAATGACCTGCGGTAGCGCTCTTTTTTACAGACAGGGTGTCTAATTCCCTGACTAAAGGAGCTGCTCGGCCCCTCTACAGTCTGGTGCAGGGGGTGAGAGGTGTTCTCCATGATGGTTTGGACAGCATCCTCCTCTCAGCCACTTCCTCCACCGAATCCAGAGGGCAGCCCAGGACAGAAGTGTCCTTCCTCACCAGCTTATTCAGTCTCTTTCTGTCCCGCTCTGAGCTGCCAGGGGCTGCCAGCTGCCAAATTAAAATGCTGTTGGAAAGTTAATTTCTTTCCTTAATTCAATTTAAAACTCAAATTCTTCTGGATAAAATCATTTACTCAATTTTATATTCTTGGCATGTTAATTTAAAACCATCAAAATTTTTGATGGTTTAATTTTTATATCTTACAACTATTCAGATGAGTCCATTAAATAATCTTTATTTGTGACCCAGCCTGGAGCAGCAATCCATAGAGGGAACATTTCAGTTTCAGTGCAGCCCATCTGAGGGGGAAGTGGTGTCTGAGCCTCTGCTTCCATGACAAAACAGCATTTTACATAAGACCAATTTAAAAAGTATGTCTGATACAGAAATATGTTATCATTATTATTATAAATCATTCTTTGAACGAGAAACAATTCATGTTAAGAGTTTATATATATTTTTTTTTTGCATATTTCTTTTTCATATTTCTGGCCAGTGAGCAGTACTAGCTCAAAAAATAAAAGTAATCTTGCTAAAATGCATGTCCATCTTCATGCAGTAATTACTGCATCAATGCAGTGAGACATGGAGGCAGTCAGCCTTTAGATCTGATAACATCCCTTATCCACACGGAGACCAGGTTACATGAAATCGTGTTGCATGTAGACAAGGCCTGTGTTTTGGGAGAGCATAAACAATCGTTTTGGAAACAGGCTCCCAGAGTGAAAAAATCAGGGACTGCTGTTGTTGCACCATATTCTGTATTTGACCATAGACTTCTTTAGATTTAATTCTTGTGGCTTCAGGTCTAGGTATAGATCCTGTGACTTTGGGGTTAGTAAATAGCAGACTTCTGATGAAAACCACAAAAAAAAAAAAAACATGAGTAACAATATATATATGGGTCACAGAGTGGATTGTAGTTTGGGAGTGATTCTGTGTAAGTCCGCAACCAAAGGGCCCGACATAAGCGTCACAGTGTCTTTATTAGTGCAGTGTACATATTTTTTTTAAGCCATTTATAAAAATATAGTCAATTGTTCTTCATGTACAATACACCTAAGTTGCTGTTATAGTGGACGTTTTTTCCTCTGCATTGTTTGGCCTGGGTTTGATCATCCTTCTCCATCCATAATTCTCCAGATTCTTTGTGGGGGTGTGAGTTTGCTGGCCAATTAAGCACTGTGATTCCACAGTCATTGAAGCATTACCCCCTTTAGCAGTGCTGTCAACTGATAGAAATTTAATAAGCAATTCACATAAAGTTTGTCAGCATAGACGAATTGGATATTTTAATCATCTTAAAAGGGAACGTGCGTTTTTTTATTAGCTTTCAGCTATAATGATCAAAATGAACAGAAATTATTGCCCAAATTTAGGGCTGCATCTAACAAAAGTAATTTTTCGACTGCAAAAGATTCCTTGAATTTTTTTTTTACAAATGAAACCAGGTGAAACTCAAACTTTGCCACTTAAGGAGTACGGGATGGAGCTGACACAATATATATATATATTTTTTTATTTCTTAAATGCATAATGTTTATATGTTTTTTTTACAATCTTGATGTAATTGCTGCCCCAAGTGGCTTGCTCTATCAGCTAAAGACATGTTTTACAGTCTCTTTACTCCAGCTAACGATCATCGATTACTGAATTAGATGATGATTAGTTCAATAATTGATTAATCCAATTGTTTCAGCACTACTTAAGTTGTTATGATTTGTATTTAATCTATATAAACCTTATTTGAATGAAACGGCTCACATGAAAAACATATTTCATACAATTACATGTTTTTGATATTTTAGTTAGGGGTGTGTGGATGCAACTTTTACATTTCTGATATGATGCCGATATTACAGCTTTTGACTAAGCACTGACACTGATTTTGACCCAATATGATATCATCGAAAATTATACTGACTTTCAAAACTTATTTGGTTTTGAAGAATGTTAGACAAGGCTTGGTCAAACAATATAACTCCGAGAACAATAGTAAACAACAACAGGTACGAGGACAGCTGACCCTTTTATTGCTAACCAATAAGTTGCAGATAGTGTGGAGAGTTTCTGTTTGATGTTGGTGAGCTTAGATGCAGGCCAATAATAATGTTTTTTTTTTTTTTTTTTTTTGGCTGTTAAATTAAATTCCTAATTCTTATATATCGAAGGGCACTTTTGTGTAATAATGTGAAACACTAATGATCGGTCAGAAAATTGTCATCATACATGGTCTACTTTTATTTAAACTGATGTAGCACAATCACTGCAGTATGCTTTATGTGACAGATCCCAAAAGTTATGTCTAAACTAGAACTGAAACAATTAATCGGATTAATCAGTATTAATTGATTATTGAAATAATCGTCAGCTCATTTAGTAATTGATTAATCATTAACTGGAGTATAGAGACTGTAAAACATGTCTTAAGCTGATGGAGAAACCTACTTAGAGCAGTAATTATGCAAAAATAAGACAAAATATTTTGAATTTAAAATAAAAAATGTGTCCATTAATATGCTCTACCCAGAACTCCTTAAATGGAAAAGTTTTAGTTTCACCTATGGTAAATGGTAAATGGCCTGTACTTGTATAGCGCCTTTTCAAGTCAGAGGACTTGACCAAAATGCTTTACACTACATTCAGTCATTCACACATTCATACACTCATGGTGGCAAGCTACATTGTAGCCACAGCTGCCCTGTAGCTCGATGACTGAAGGGAGGCTGCTGTACACTGGTACCATGGGCCCTCTGACCACCATCAGTAGGCAATGTGGGTAAAGTGTCTTGCCCAAGGACACAACAACACTGAAAGACGGAGCCTTGGGCAAACTTGTTTGAAGGGTAAACTCCTTCACCTGACTCCTCTAGTCCCCCCTGGTTTTCACCTGGTTTGATTCTGTAAAAAAATCTCCTTTAAGGATCTTTTTATTACTTCATATTAATCAAAAGTGGAATCAACAGATTAATCGATTAGGAAAATAGTCGTTAGTTGCAGCCCTAGCCTAAACAATATATATATTTTTTTATCATTTTAGAGCTGGGACCAGTGGATCCAAACTGGTTTGAGGTACTGACAGCCCAAGCTTCTCTTGGTGAAGGACACGTTGATGATAACGATGACCTGTGTGCTAACCAAGAGGGACTTTTCAAAGCCCCTCTGGAGAAGACAGCAGTCGAAAGCCAACTGTTTTCAACCCCTAAAGTTTTTCGACGCAGTCAAATGGTCTCACCTGAGACTGAAGATGAGCCATCGTTCACAGCCGCCCAGGGTACTGTTTCTGCTTACATTTAAATAATTGAGACTGTTCATTTTAAACTAATTAATAAAGGCCTTAACACAAACCTCTATGAAGTTTAAACTCTAAAATCTACATGTTTCTATCATTTGTTTTAGGAAAAGAAACGCCACCATGGGTGACAACTCAGAGTCCCTGTCTGTTTGAGCCAACAAAACAGCGGTGAGTAAAATGAAAGCTTCATTCCATCAAGCTGTAACTGACAGTGTTTTAAAAACCCCTTATCTGTCTAACTTCATATTTTTCATTGTTCTTGTTCTGTTTATTTCAGTGTCCTGGATGTAAAATGTGAAGGTGTCCAACCTCAGGGTGAGGAGAGTTTTGGTAAGAAGAAACATATTTTAATTTATATAAACAAAGAAATTAAGAAATAAGCACCATTGATAGACATTCTTGTTTGATTATTGCAGATCTTCTTGATACCCCAAAGAAATCCCCAGTAAGTACTTTTTAATCTACCAGTTTTTTTAAAAACATTAATACAATTTCAGTCTAATGTAATAGATAATGAAACTTGTTCCTTTTTTTTGTTTCAATGAAACAGGACAGCTATGTCAAGCATATTTCTGAAAGTCTCGGTGCACAGATCAATCCAGATATCTCTTGGACCAGTTCTTTCAATACCCCACCAGCAATGCCATCTACCCTGATTTTATGTGAGTTGCTGAAACACATGGCATGTATTGTTCTAAATTTCTGGTTAATTGGACATATTTTCTTTTTTTGATGTTCCAGCTAAAACTGAAGAGAGTCCATGTCCAGCGAGTGTCACTGCAGATAGGAATGTTGTTGTGAGTACCCTACATAGTTTAATTATGTACAGCTGAACTAATCAGTTATTGTAAATCACATAATGCAACATTTGAAAAGTTCTGGATTTAAAAAGCCCTCAGAAGCTGATCTAGATTTGTGCAAAAAAAAAAAAAGATTAAGAGACAAGTTAGACACTCAGGTCGTGTAAAGTCCCTTGTGGACTCATTAGTCTGTTAAGGCAAGGCAAGGCAAATTTATTTGTATAGCACAATTCAGTGCAAAGACAATGCAAAGTGCTTTACATGATTAAAATATAGGAAAATAAAACAGAATCAAACCAAGTAGGATAAAAAATTTAATTAAATTGAAAATGCGGAGGGTTGATACACTGATAGCAAGTCTGTGATCAATTTAGGTGCTAAGCCATTTAGGGATTTATAGACTAACAGAAGTATTTTTAGGTCTATTCTCTGAGATACAGGGAGCCAGTGTAAGGACTTTAGAACTGGGGTGATGTGCTGTACTTTCTTAGTCTTAGTGAGGACACGGGCAGCAGCGTTCTCGATAAGCTGCAGCTGTCTGATCCACTTTTTAGGCAGACCTGTGAAAACACTGTTGCAGTAATCAATTCGACTACACATCAATGAATCTGGCTGCATTTCATCACTTTAATATGAAAACATTTATTCAATTTGTGGTACTCTCACCTTTTTATCCTGATAAGGAAATTTATAAGTAAAGTTTAATCATAAAACTTACAATTCTCAGTGTTTAACAATAATTGTTTTCTAGTTTTTAACTTAACATTTTTTCAAACCAGCATGATTATCATTTGTGTAAACATTGTGAAGCCTGTTGTGGGTTTTGAGGGTTAAATCATTTAATATTCTTTAGCCCTCAATATAGTAGTTTATAATAAGCTATTCTTTTTCACAGCATACTGGCAAATAAAAAGCAATTATCCTCTTATTAATGAAATTGCGTTGCTCTGAATTTTTGCTTTTTGTCTTACTTTCAAAGTTGGTCCGGAAGCTTTTCCCTTCACTTTCCAATTCCTCACTTAAAACCCCGAAAAAGAGTGTAGGGTCTTCTAATTCTGAAGGTAATAACTTCTTTTTTTCCCCCCACAATATGCCCATGAGTAGTTAATTATTATAGTCATTTTTATAAAGAAAATAAATGCAGATTACATAAGGTGCATTTCAATATGGTTTCACAGAGCCACACTAATACAAACTGTTTGTTGTTTTGTAATCAATAGGTGTTGTTTTTCCCGTGGCTCAACACCTCCCTGACTCTCCATTGGACCAGAGTGGAAGTCATTGGCAACAGAAAGATCCAGATACTGTTAAAGGAGAAGTTTCTGGTGCAGTTGGGTTAAAAAATGCTTCTTCTGACTTCCATTTCTTTGCAAACAGTAGCTCAGCTCTGAGAAAGGTGAAACCTGACAGAGTTAAATGTAAGCAAATAACTCTGACCAATGAAGACGCTTGCAGCCACCAGGCTGTATCAGAAGCCGACAATGGTGCATCTAGTGAAGAGGCTACCACTGATTTGGAATCTGGAGGATTACCTGCAACCCCATTAGTTAAAACTGGAGATAGCCAATGGTCTCCTATAAATTTATCTGAAATCTCATCTTGTGCTGTGAGTAGCAGTATGACACAGCCAGGTGACATTGATTCTGTCCAACACTCAAGACCATCATTGAAAGTCACAGACACTGGATTTATTCGAAAAAGGAGACAGTTTGTTTACACTGTTGCAACAAAAACATCGCAAATTAAGTGCCACGACTCACAGTCCCAGAAGATGGATTCCTCCACAAAGATTTCAGAATATGGTAAAACATTTAATATTCATTTTAAGAGTAACAATATGGATTTTTACATGTTTGCAGGGCATTTTGTATCTTCCCCATTTTGCACCTTTGCTCTTTTGACTATTTTGTACCTGTTTAAGGTCACCATCTTAATGTGTCATACTCACTAGGCCTCACTCCTCACACATATTGCTTTGAAAGCTGTTAATTTTAAGTAATTTTTCAATATTGTTCTCAGTCTCGTGCATAGAAATGTGATTTTATGACTAAAATACTGAAAAAACTGCCTAATGGGGTTTAACAAAAAAAGGGATTATCAGTTAGTTCAAGAATTAAGGAGTGGAGGGATTAATTGTATATTCTTATATGGATTTGTTTTTAGGATAGATTTTATTTTCTTAAATATAGAAATATTTTTAAAATGAGATTTTGAATTTACTCAGGTTAACTTTATTTTCTCTGAAAATGTTTTGGATTTTTTTTTAAGTGAAAGAAAAAGGAAAAATCAAGAAGGTGGTCGAAGTTTGGTCTTTTGTGCAAAATGGAAGTTAAACAAAGGTCTAAATGGTTGTAAATTGTAGGCACAAATTGGTGAAAGGTTAAATGTATAATGTATTTCCCTCTAAACTGTTACTGATTGCACTTTTTCCTTTTTTGTTTGCTTTTATTTAGCACAAAAAGCAACTCTTAAGACATTGAAGAACACCACAGGCAAAGTTGAGTGTCAGAAGATTCAACAATGTCTAGGAGAACCCGCAACTTACTCTGCAGTCCCAAAACTCCAGGATGTTGATATGTCTCAACTTTGCAGAGAATTTGCAAAGGAGTTCAGCCAAATGACTGACCTACATATTGCAGAGGATGCTCAGAGTAACTTCTCTCCTGCAGCATGTCTGACTGCCTTGAAGCAAGCTAAACAGAAAGTAAATCAAGCAAACCCTCCCAATGACATCAGTGCCAACAAGCAAGTCCCCACTGTTTACCAACCTTGTTCAGTCAGTGAAGGCACCATGATTGACAGCAGAGTCCAGTCTGCTGTGAAAGACGTCACTCATATGACCACCTTGTCATTTGGTCCTCCTCGTTCTGAGAACTTTAACCAAAGTCGACCGTCTCTGAGCTTTAAAACGGATATGCATCATTTGCCATCATCAAATGAAAGTGGAAATCCAACGATTAATGCTGAAGTGTCTCTGCACATATCTACCAAAGATAAAAATCTGGATACTGGAAAAGGAATCGATTTGCACACAGAGAGCACATCAGCAGGGCATTCAAGGAGTAGAGAAGAAACTGTTGATGAAAGTAACTGCAGCCAGCTGGAAAAAGCTTCTATTGTTCCATTTGCCAATGCATCAGGATTCAAAACTGCTTCAAATAAAGGCATACACATTTCCCCTGCCAACCTGGAGAGAGGAAAACGTTTTTTCGAAGAGGCTGATGGTGAAAAGACTTCTCATGATCTTAGCATCACTACCCCATATGCCAAAAATAATAAAAGGAATTTAATTCCTGAAACAACGAAACCCAAGCCATCTAATTCCAATCTGTTACCCAAAGTAGAAAGACCATTTGTAAATATCAATTCCCATTTAACGGCATCAGAAAAAGCGGATGTGACAGAACTTTGCTGTCTCTTAGAGGAGGCGGACAGCCAGTTTGAATTTACACAGTTCAAACCTGCAAAAAATCTCCCGAATCGTGAATATGATTTCCACACTTCACCAAGACAGGACAAAGATCTTGACCCTGCTTTTCTGCAAGACATAGACTTTGATGACAGCTTTAGTTCTGATTGTGGAAAGCACCCAGGAGTCACTGTCATGAATGACAATATGGCCCTGGCTTTATCAAATGGAGAAACGGCAAAAGGCATAAATCTATACACAGACTTGTCTATGTCAAACTCACTAAGGGAAAACTCCTGTTTGTCAGAAAACATTTCTGAGACGGGGAAATGCCCAAAGTTAAGTGATATCTTTCCCAGAGCTGAGGATACTAAAGCCAGCGAGTTGAAGAGCAACAGTACTTTGATGCATGGTCAGGGATTTAAGACAGCTGGAGGAGTTATGTTGCAGGTCTCTAAAAAGAGTCTGAGCAGGGCAAGAGCTTTGTTTGCAGAGCTGGAAAATAACTTGACAGAGCAGAAACGGGCTGATAAGCAGGAATCAAAAAATGTTGCCCAAACAGAACAGAAATGTGACGTGGATTCTGACATCTGCAAGCACAATTCTTTCATCCTCAAAGAAAGCTGTGATGTAAGTAACAAAAGTGAGAATTGTTTTTCCAATTTAGATGAGGTCCGCTGTTCAAACAAAAATCCATCAAGTGTTGAAGATAAGAATGTCCTTGAAAGCAGTGAAACTGACGCAGCGAAGTGTGAAATCGGGAAAGGAATCTCAATATCGGCTAAGCACATGAAGGGTGCAGATGTGTTATTTAAAGACTGTCAGGTAATAGAGCATAAAGAGGAGAAGAGCACAAAGGCTCCTCCAGAAAGTGTTGAAAGAGGGAGAAGCTTTTCAAACTTTAAAAGCCCTAAGGTCAACATTTATAAGGAGGGTTTTGCTGGATGCTCTAAATTTGAAAATGAAAATTCAGCATTGATTGCACATACAGGTGGGCTTCATCGGGATGAAGTGGAAAGGAACAGCATGTCTACACCAGCTTTGAAAAATGAAAATGGAAAAAAGCCATTTTCAACTTCAAAGCCATCTGCTATTCTAGGCACATCAAAGAGCATTGATTTGTCTGCCTCTAAAGACCTGTGCACAAGTGACGGGTTCCGTACAGCTGCTGGGAAGAACATTAGTGTGTCTGTTGCTGCAATGAGGAATGCTGCATCTCTTTTAAATCAGATCGACACACCTGTGGAGACAAACAAACAACCTAATCAAAAGAAAAAGACATCAGAAACAGAATGTCTTAGTAATGTGATGTCAAAAATAGATAATGGTGGTTTTGAAACTGTAGTTGAAGTGAGAAAATTTGCAACTTTAAAGAAACCCACACTGTCAAAAGAACATGAAAAATCAGAGGATAAAATTGGTGCAAATCAGTCCAAAATCCCAGGAAATGACCCGCGGAGTGGTGGCTTTTTTGCAGCCAGTGATGAACCTGGTTTCTTGTCATCTGAGGCTTTGGAAAAGGAAAAGGCTTTATTTAGTGACAGTAGTTTGAATATGGATGATGTGTCAGAAACTGTTGCTGTAAGAATTGAGAAACCAGAGACAAGACTCTGCAGTTACACAACTGCAGGGGGGACAAAGGACCAGGTGTCACAGAAAAATCTCCCAAAACCAAAAGATCAATTTGAAGAACTTGATGATCTGGATTTAACCAAAGCAGTGGATGAAGAAGGTTTGTTTTCAGTTTTTGATGAGGGAAATGTGCGGGGGAGCAAACAGGCAGAATTGTACAATTGTTATCCAGGTGACAAAAAAAAGATAAACATTTCTATCAAGGCTGGATGTTCAAGAGGTGCAGAAAAACAAGTGGAAGTAAAGGAAAACATTTTGCCACAAGCAAGCCATGGGCTACAGGCAGCCAGTGGAAGGAAAGCCGGTGTATCATCTCACTCTCTGAAGAGAGTAGAAAGCCTGTGTAGTGAGTTTGAAGAAATTAAGAATAAAACAAATGCAACAACACCACAGTTCGAGGCTACTGCTCCTCCGCTCAAAAATAGTGTATTTCACTCTGTCAGTGGTAAACCAATGGCACCTTCAGCTGAGGAGGTCGAAAAGCCAAAATCCCTCTTTGGTAATATCACCCGCAGAGCAGAAGACCCAGATGTTTCACAGACAAGGAAAACTGATGACATACAAGACGATCAGAACAAATCTAAGAAAATATGTTGTGGTTTTACTACAGCAAGGGGAAAAAAAGTCAACGTTTCCCAGAAAAATCTTCAAAAGGCAAAAATCCTTTTAAAAGAAGTCAGTGACTTGGGTTTAACAAAAGCAATGCAAGATGCAGATATTTTGTTCAGAGATGATGAAGACTGGACCCTGGACAGTAACAGTGATGCATCATTAGAACAAACTAATAAAGTTTCAACTAAGGAAAGTGGCAGCATAACGGGAAACCTGTCCCAACTCAAACCAGATAAAAAGCAAACTGTCGATGTTTGTGAAGAACCTGAATCCAGTTCAATTAAAGCTAACCAAAAAGAAGGCTGCTCAATGCCAGGACAGAATGGTGAATTTGAGACAGCAAGTGGGAAAACAGTTGTTGTTTCATGTGGGGCTCTGTCAAGAGCAAAGTTTCTGAGTGAAAACAATGCAACAACACCGCAGTTTAAGGCTACTGCTCCTCCGCTCAAAAATAGTGGATTTCATTCTGTCAGTGGTAAACCAATGGCACCTTCAGCTGAGGAGGTTGAAAAGCCAAAATCCCTCTTTGGTAATATCACCCGCAGAGCAGAAGTCCCGGATGTTTCACAGACAAGGAAAACTGCTGACAAACAAGACGATCAGAACAAATCTAAGAAAATATGTTGTGGTTTTACTACAGCAAGGGGAGAAAAAGTCAACGTTTCCCAGAAAAATCTTCAAAAGGCAAAAATCCTTTTCAAAGAAGTCAGTGACTTGGGTTTAACAAAAGCAATGCAAGATGCAGATATTTTGTTCAGAGATGATGAAGGCTGGACCCTGGACAGTAACAGTGACGCATCATTAGAACAAACTAATAAAGTATCAACTAAGGAAAGTGGCAGCTTAACGGGAAACCTGTCCCAACTCAAACCAGATAGAAAGCAAACTGCAGATTTTTGTGAAGAACCTGAGTCTGGTTTAAATAAAGCTAACCAAAAGGAAGGCTGCTCATTGCCAGGACAAAATGGTGGATTTCAGACAGCCAGTGGGAAAACAGTTATTGTTTCATGTGAGGCTCTGTCAAGAGCAAAGCTTCTGAGTGAAAACAATTCAACAACACTGCAGTTCGAGGCTACTGCTCCTCCGCTCAAAAATGGTGGATTTCATTCTGTCCGTGGTAAACCAATGACACCTTCAGCTGAGGAGGTTGAAAAGCCAAAATCCCTCTTTAATATCACCCGCAGAGCAGAAGTCCCAGATGTTTTACAGACAAGGAAAACTGATGACAAACAAGATGATCAGAACAAATCTAAGAAAACATTTTGTGGTTTTACTACAGCAAGGGGAGAAAAAGTCAATGTTTCCCAGAAAAATCTTCAAAAGGCAAAAATCCTTTTCAAAGAAGTCAGTGACTTGGGTTTAACAAAAGCAATGCAAGATGCAGATATTTCGTTCAGAGATGATGAAGGCTGGATCCTGGACGGTAACAGTGACGCATCATCAGAACAAACTAATAAAGTATCAACTAAGGAAAGTGGCAGCATAACGGGAAACCTGTCCCAACTCAAACCAGATAGAAAGCAAGCTGCTGGTATTTGTGAAGAACCTGAATCCAGTTCAATTAAAGCTAACCAAAAAGAAGGCTGCTCAATGCCAGGAAAAAATGGTGGATTTCAGCCAGCCAGTGGGAACACAGTTGCTATTTCATGTGAGGCTCTGTTAAGACCAAAGCTGCTGAGTGAAAACAAAGTGGATGATGATGGGATTTGTGCTCCGTCCCAACTTTCTGAGACCCCCGTTTCAGGTCCAGGTCTGATGAATGGTGGATTTTTTTCAGCAAGTGGTAAACCTGTGGCAATTTCATCTGAGGCTTTACAGAAAGCAAAGGCTCTTTGTAGCGACATTAGTGTCACAACAGCTCTACCATATCCAACTGCTCAAAGTAAAAAGGAAAAAATGAAGTGTGGTCTCACAAATGTAGGGGTAACAAATGTTATAAATTCAGAGTTATCACATGTAAAATATACTGAAGGAACTTTAAACCCCATTTCTCCCCCAAGAAGTGGTAATAGGAAGAACCACTCAGCGGTTCAATCTTTTCCTTTAGCAGCAGACATTGGAAGTGACCATGAAGAAAAGCCATGCATGATAGTCTGTGATTTAGACATTAAAAACAGCATCAAGAGATCTGAAGTTCTAACAACAGGCCCAGAATTTCAGTCATTGAACCTCGCTGGCTGTACAGAAACCCAACAAATGATTTTTGCTCAGGAAGCTTTTGATTGTACAAAAGCCTTACTAGATGATGAAGTTCGGATTGGCCAGAGCTTGTTGATGGGTTCAGAACATTTCCAAATACCAGAAGACTGCAAATCAAATGGCAAATCTACCGAAGAAGCCAAAAGGAAGAAAACTAGAAGTGCTGAAGATCTAACTGGCAAGTATTACACATTAAATCTTTACTTAGTTGCTTTGATAATTTATGTAATAACTGATTTTCCTGCTATTAGTTTATTATACTTTCTACATGCATTACGATTTTAAATAAGGAAAAACCCTTGATTATAAGTATAGTTTAAGAGATTCTGCTCTTAGATCAAAATTTCCATTTTTATTTACCAAAATGTAAGATCTTTGCTAAGCAGTGGCAGACAAAAATCTGAAATCATTTTCCTGCCTTTCTTATATAGCTCAGCCCCCTTCCAAACGAAGATTACTAGAGGAATTCAGTGAAACCACCGATGGTCCAAGAGGTTCAGGGCTTCACCCCATAAAAAGCTCTCCAAATGGTAACTCTCTTGTATTATATTTACTTTGAGACAAGTAAATAGAAGTAATCCATTTTAATAATATTTTACCCGTTTCATCAAGGTTTAATGGACAGGGGAGTGTTCAAGTACAATACCTCTCTTCATCCACACATCACAAAGCCTCACAGGTATATTGTATTAGATGTTAGAAGTTGTGATTCCAAATGGCAAATAGATTTTAACAGATCCTTTTCATTTATTTTTATTTTCTACAGGGATGCAAAAAGTTTTGTGCAAAGCAGATACCAAAGGACAACAGATACAAACCCAGGAGATCATACATCCGCATCCTCCAAGATGCAAGCCTTTGTTCCTCCATTTATCAAAAGCGCAAAGAGAGCTGTATCCAATAATCCAGAAGTCGGAGACCGCAAAAGAGTACCTGTGTTTGTTCCCCCCTTCAAAAAACAACGAATTGTCCTACAAGTGAGCTCGCCTAAACAACAGGGGAGTGACACCAACAACGACGTAACACTTACCAAGAAAACCCCAAGCTCTACAGATATTGTCCCTTTAATGAAGTCTTCAAACACTAATGTGATGATTCCAAGTGTTCCTGAAAACGAGGAGCCAGTTGGCGCTGCTGAAACATCACATGTGGACAACAAGCTTTCCAGAAGCCAAGGTACGGTCATCATTTTAACTAAAGTCTGTGTAAAAAGCCCTAGATATCCTATATAACATTGGTATAATCATAGTCTCTTTCAATAGACAGGACAGAGAATATTATGTTGGCCCGGGATATGCAGGACATGAGGATTAGGAAAAAGAAGCGGCAGACCATTCGACCGCTCCCTGGGAGCTTATTTTTGACAAAAACCTCAGGAGTTTTGAGAATCCCTTTAAAATTGGCAGTAAATGGAAATAAACCAACCAGATGCTCTGCAAAAGAGGCAAGGCCAAAACATACACAGCTCCTGAGCTTTCCTCTTTACAAGTTACATTTTGTCCTATAAGCAACGCCTTTATATTTATACATTTCTGCTTTAGTTGTATGAGTGCGGAGTCCACAAGCATGTTCCTGAGATCACCGGAGCAAACGCCGAATCGTTTCGGTTCAACTTGCTGCAGTTCATCAAACAGGAAATGATAACAGATGGGGGCGGTGTTCAACTCGCTGACGGAGGCTGGTTGATCCCCAGCAACGACTGGACGGCGGGAAAAGAAGAATTCTATAGGTAGTCATGAAAGTACATTGTTTTTACTTATTTTCACACTCCTATTCACTGCTTTAATATGCTGAACTGTTTTCCATAGAGCATTATGTGATACGCCCGGTGTGGATCCCAAACTGATCACCGAGCAGTGGGTTTACAATCACTACCGGTGGATTGTGTGGAAGCAGGCCTCCATGGAGAAATCCTTTCCAGAAAAAATGGGCAGTCTTTGCCTCACTCCAGAGCAGATTCTCCTGCAGCTGAAGTACAGGTTCATATCCTTAAAGTTCGGACAGCTACATTTGCAGTTACTAGATTGCAATTATTGTTAAGAAGAAAAAAAAAGAAGTTGTGCGAACCTGCGTGGGTAGTTATTGAAGGTCCTGTGCAGAAGCCTTCAAAAATTAGACTGCTCACTAGGATAAAGTTGGTTGGAGAGCCCACAGTTTCTGCATGCAGACAGGGACGAGGTTTTTATTCCTGCGTGTGACTGTTTTGTCGCACGCAGGAAGCCAGCCACCATACGGTTTGAGTTTTGTCCGCTTTTTTGAGAAACAAATTAAACGGGGCTGAAGAGACGGCCGATATAAAGATGAGATTTTCCTGTTTCTCCCTTAAGGAGAACAAAAGAGAAGCAGTGCCGTCTGATTGAGCTAATTTATACTAGTTGGCAAATTAGAGATTATTTCATTCAAGATCCTTTAAGGATTGGATAAGCTTACTCTTTAACTACAGTGTGTTGCTAAAGATGATTAATGTAACATGAGATATCTGAGTCTGAGTCTTAAGCTGCAAAAAACCCCACTAAACTATACCATTGCATTATCTATATATATATTTTTTTTTTTCCTTTTTTGTCAGATATGATGTAGAGGTGGACCACAGCCGCAGGCCAGCTCTGAAGAAGATCATGGAAAGGGACGACACACCAGCCAAAACTCTTATTCTGTGTGTCTGTGAGATCGTCTCCAGAGGTCACCTGCTAAACGCACAGAGCCGCAGCGACACAAAGACAACACAAAGTGCTGAAAACAATCCATCAGCCATCATCTGGTTGACAGATGGTTGGTATGCCATCAAAGCACAGCTGGATGAACCTCTGACTGCAATGCTTCACAAAGGTCGGCTTGCTGTCGGCGGCAAATTGATGATCCACGGAGCCCAACTGGTTGGATCACAAGATGCCTGCTCTCCTTTAGAGGCACCAGACTCTCTAATGTTGAAGGTATTTACAGGGAGAGGATACATGTTTTTCATTTTTTTTCCCAGACCACATAACATGCAATTTGTTTTAGATATGCGCCAACAGTACGAGGCGAGCGCGGTGGGACGCTAAGCTGGGATTTCACAAAGATCCTCGACCGTTTCTGCTCCCCATCTCCTGCCTATTCAGTAATGGTGGACTAGTAGGATGTGTTGATGTTCTTATACTGAGAAGTTACCCAATGCAGGTGTGTAGAGAACTCACTATTTATATGGTTCCTCCATTGCGTTCAACGTCTGAATGTGTGTTTTTATTTTTAAAGTGGATGGAGAGGAAATCAGATGGTGGTGTTGTGTTTCGGTCGGATCGGGCAGAAGAGAAGGAGGCAAGAAGATTCAGCCACCATAAACAAAAAGTGATGGAGATGCTGTTTGCCAAGATTCAAGCTGAATTTGAAAAAGAGGAGGAAGGTAGGTTTAAATTCAACTTTTTAATAGCGAAGTTAAAATATTGAAACGGATTAACAAGTTTTCACCTTCAGGGAGAGCGAAACCACAGCGCAGAAGGCAGACAATCAGCAAGCAGGATGTTGCAAACTTGCAAGAAGGGGTAGAATTATATGAAGCAGTTGGAGACGACCCTGCATACCTGGAGGTAATGGGAACTTCAAAGTATACATTTCAGTTGCATCTCTGTGAATTTCAAACAACTTGTTTGTTTGTGTTTTAGGCTCATTTAAGTAAAAAACAAATGGAGACTCTTCAGGCCTACAGGAGTTCTCTGATGGAGAAGAAGCAGGCCGAGCTGCAGGACAGATATCGCCGAGCTCTGGATGCAGAAGACAATGAAATGAGCTGTCCAAAAAGAGATGTGGCACCTGTATGGAGACTTTGCATCGCTGACTCAAAGGACCAGTCCAGTTGTGGTCGGTCTTGTTATGGTGTTTTACATCTTATCTGTCTTTCTCATTAATGTGTATAATTTTATTTTATTTTTTTCTCTCTCTTGTAGTTTATAAGTTAAACCTTTGGCGGCCTTCCTCTGATCTTCAGTCTCTACTGAAGGAAGGTTGCCGATTCAAAGTCTATAACCTTGCCGTCTCGGATGGAAAGAACCGCAGCACCATTGAAACCGTTCAGCTGACCGGAACAAAGAAAACACAGTTCCAGGAAATGCCGGTATTGCGATATTCAAATGATCATTTGTTATATTTATTTATGACCAAAAGCTTTTTCAATTTTTAACTAAATTTTGCATTCAGGCGTCCCCAGAATGGCTGTCATCACGTTTCCAGCCCAGAGTCGCCACAGACTTTGCAGATCTTCAAAATGAAGAATTCAAGCCCCTGTGTGGAGAAGTTGATCTTGTAGGATATGTGATCAGTGTTATAGATCAACAGGGTTAGTGTTTGTTTGGTTGTCTTTTTCTTTTCTTGTTCTTAGCTGTATTGTTAACTGAATTGGATTATACATTAATTGTTCACAGGTCCCTCTCCTGCGTTTTATTTGGTTGACGGGAAGCAGAATTTTGTGAAAGTGCGCTGTTTTACCAGCTTGGCTCAAGCTGGCCTTGAAGATGTGGTAAAACCAGGTGTCCTGTTGGCACTGAGCAACCTGCAGCTCAGAGGGCAGTCTATGTACCCTACCCCTGTGGTGTATGCTGGGGATCTGACTGCTTTCTCCACAAACCCCAAGGAGATTCATCTACAGGAATCCCTCCAGCAACTCAAAAGCCTGGTCCAGGTATGGTGTTAGAAACTGAAATGCTCTAGAAAACTGTTTCTTATTTCTCTAAATTTTCTCTATCTTTCGAGCTTTCTCATTTTTAGCTTCATCGTCTTGGTCTTACTGCCATGTTTTTAAAATGTCACTTTTGTTTATATATTTAAAGTGTCAGGACAACTTCTGTCCATCTGCTGAGGAAAAGCTTGCCCAGTTAGTCAAGTCTGATGGCATGCAGTCGGTCTGCTCTCCATCTTTGCAACCACAACCTGCAGGCTCTGCAACAGACAGAAGACAAAGCTTAAGCTCAAACGTGAGTTCGTTTTTATGCTTTTTAAAAGTTTTTATTCTTCCTTTTTCGTATGTTGTCACATTGCAGTCCCAGGCTCATTTGTATTGGAGGTTTACTTTCCTTACACACAGAAAAGTGCACAATTTTGAAGTAGAGAAATAGGTTTTCCTTATGGTGAAAAAAAAAACTACTTTGAACCTCTATATTACGCTGTTCTTTTGTTATCTTTAACATATAATCTTCCAGGATTTGTCTATGTTTAGCTCAATCTAGCCTCCCATCAACTTTAAAAGGCTTCTCTGACCCTGCCTGACAGACACATTCTCACAGCATGATACTGCCCCCACCATGTTTTGTACTCAAGGATGGGTGGTGTGCACACAATGTTTGTGGAGTATGCAGGGCCAAATGATTTGACCAGAGCACATTTTTTTTTCACATGTTTAATGTGGTTATGATTGGTTACTCTATTTTCTAATTTTAGTTAGATGAATTGCATTACTTAAAAAATAAACTAGTTTTAGTTACTATATACTTCTCCAAAAAAGTAACTGAGTTAGTAACTCTGTTATTGAACAAATAAAGGAAAGATTTTTAGGCAAATTAACTGCAGTTACTTAATGTCACCTAAAATGACTCAGAACTTGGATAACTTTCATTGTATGTTAAAGTTCATTATCTGAACTTTAAAATACTACTGAAGTTCAATTCTAAAAGGTAAAGTGTTTGATAATTAATTTGAGTTAAATAATAACTTAAAGGACTACATGTCTAAAAGCATTTCATATTAATCTGCACCATGTTGGTGTGTGTAGACAAGTAAGTTGCAACATATTTATATAGATGTGATATTTTTGTTTTCCAATTAGAGCAAATTAGATGTTTAGGAACTTCATATTTCTGCGCTTTGACAGCCTACAACTGGCTTTAAAATGGGCATGGAGCTGAATGCTATTCAAGGAATTTAAAAATAATATGTACTTTGCAAAAGAATCAAACAGGGGTTACACTATTCCAAGAAAAAGGAAACGACTGTATAATTCCTGTATTTCTATGTGAAAAAACAATGAACAATGCAAGTGAATACAGTATAATACAGGAAGTAAAAAGAAACAAGCAGGCAGCCGGTGGCCATTTTGTTGCTGGTGGTAAGACAACTTGAGGAGCTGCTTTAGACCAGAGATGCTTTTGATATGTATAATATCTTTATTCTTGCACATCACAAGCAAATCACAGGAACTTTTTTATAACACAGTTAATCAGTCAAACACTGGCCACACCTATTCTAAGGAGGTCAGATTAAAGGGGTTGAATACTTGTCTGGGCTGTGCTTTTCACAATATTCATGAAAAGGTTTAAAGCTTTCATTATTTTCATTATTTGTTGAGGTGTTCGGTCCCATTAAGCTAGAAAACTGTTGGTTACTTCAGAAAATGAAAGCTAAGTCAAGGGGTGACCAACCTTTTTCATCTTTTGCTGTATTTAATAAACTTTGAAAACATCTTTTTTCCTGCAGGTGACCTTTCAGAAACCAGGTAAAAGCCTTGGATCCTTCACACCTGTCAGCAGTAAACTCCCTGCACCAACATCTTCAACAGAAAAAGACCCTAAAAGCCTGAAAAGAAAAAGGGCTTTGGATTATCTTTCTCGCATCCCTTCTCCACCTCCTATTTCCCCCCTTGGCTCAGTAGTTTCACCTTGTGTGAAAAGAACATTCAATCCACCTCGGAGGTCTGGGCCACCAAGCACTTTAAAACCCGCACAGACTGTTGAACCGAAGCGGGCTGATTCTCTAGTGGAGGATGAGTGGGTGAACGATGAGGAACTGGCTATGATTGATACGCAGGAATTGCATGTTGGAAATTTATTGTAGATTTTACATGCAAGTTAACAACAGTACATCTTTTAAAACACTGTACGAAAGTAATGTGAAAATTGAAAGCTGCTAAAAAAAAAACATGTAACAAATTGTATTTAACATGTTCTTGATCATATTAAACTATGGATATGGCTTTTCACAATAAAATCAACCAATCACCTCTGTCCTTGTTTCTGTGTCTTAGGAGATAAAAATTGGGTAAATTGATCAGGGTTTTAGAAAGATCTAAGTGGACCAGGCTGCTTCCTATTGGGTGTTTGATACCTACATTGATTTACGTCTGAATTTTTTCAGGGTTAGTATGAACAGAATGACATTCAGGAATGTTGAACAACACCCAACAGGGTGAGCTGTTGAAGCACATTTGTACTTTTTGTCCACTCTGCTTCTGATACTACATTCCTTTTCTGTCTGTTGTAGGATTGTGAAGTAAATAAAAGTGGAACACATTGCTTTTCAGTTAATGTTTTTTTTTATTTAAACATGCTGAGCTTCTCAAAAGTACTGCCATGGTAAATTCCATGTTTTTCCAAGAACTGCCTTGTTACTGTTTTTTTTCAAAACCTGCTCTTATACAAGATCTGGACATTATCTGTCATAAAAAAAATGGAAGAAAACCTTTATCCCTTGGATTGGTTACAGTATGAATAAAGGAAGCTGGTGTTCAGTTTTAATTGAGATGTTAAAAGATTAAAGTTTGATGCTGGAGCAGAAAGATTTAACATTATGTTGGGGTGAACTGTGTATTTGCATTTCTGAGAATTTGTATCAGAATATTCACACAGACTATATTTACTAACCTCCTTTTGTGGATTTTTTGCTAGCTTTCAAGAAATCCATGCAAGTCCATCATTACCTTTTATTACTACTAATAATTGATAACTGCATATCAACCAGTCCTGTTGGTTTTGTGAAATGGGGTTTGATGCCAATACCTTGTAGTCAATTCCAAAATATATTCAAGTATATTGGAGACTGCAACAAAGTGCCACCAATGGTACTGGTGATACTTTGGTTGCAAATATAGTTCAAGGACTATGGTAGCGTTATAAAATAGCAATTTGCAGCAATATGTATTTCCATTGCTGGATTTAAATCCAGACTCTCATCCTGTTCTCTTCTGGAACCTACAAAACCTATTTTAGCCTGAACTCCCTGCAAAGGAGGTATGTCACCTTCACAATTTTTACTGTTACTAAAAATCTCAATCTCCTACAATATATTGACTAAAGGAATTTTTTTATTTAATCAGTTTCTTTTTTTCTTCTTTTTTTTTTTACAGTACAGACCTTAGTATCAACTGAGAAGCTATTAAAGAACCACTAAAAGCAAAAATACACGGTGTGCGGAATTATTAGGCAAATTAGTATTTCGACCACGTCATCCCTTTCATACATGTCCTACTCTAAGCTGTATAGGCTTGAAAGCCAACTATCAATCAAGTAAATCAGGTGGTGTGCATCACTGCTTAAAAATTCTGCACATTAATATTTACCAGCACACACAGACGTCCTCATAAAATGGCCAAATCTAAAAAAAAAAAAAACACATCAAAAATATGAAACTTTGATATTAAGGAGTCTTTTGGGTTGATTGAGAACACAATTATGGCCCAATAATAAAAATAATCCTCAAAAAATACAATTTGCCTAATAATTCTGCGCAGTGTAAAATGCATGAGTTTCTTTCATTTTAAATATATACCAAACAACTTTTAAATGTGTGTCAATATCTTTAATGAACACCTTTAAATTACTGTCATTAGAGTCGTACTTGGAAAATCTCAGCACACTTGCACTTTTTAACCATTTACTGGACACATTTTATAACATTCACCCCATGTTATTTTTTAGTCCTGCAGGGGGCGCTCACGCTTACAGCGCCGCGTCGTTGACCGGATAAAGGAACTGCGTCACTTCCGTAAACACAACATACTGAAATGCTGAACAGGAGGGTTTCCTACTGTGTTAACACGTTTGGCAGCATTTCAGTATTTTGAACGTGTAAGGTAAGATACCGAAGGAGAAATACAGGTTATGATTTTAACTCAGTTTATCATCTGTCCATTGTATTAGTACTGCTTTAGCTAAGGAGTAACTGGTTACTGCTAGTTTCGATATTAGCTATTTTTTTTCTCATAAAGCGTTTTGATAAAATGTTAATGGTTCCGGGCAGCAGGTTGTTATCTTGTAAAGGGTTAAATGTGTGTTTTTCTCTGTTTTTGGTTGTGGCGGATATAACCACAGGTGTATCCTAATTAGTTAAGATCTTACAGGAGAGTGACTTCAAGAAAACTTTGAAAATCTTCACGTATTCCATATAAGCTGAGAAATTATTTTTAAGCTTTCTTTTCTGGTGCTTTTGATTATTCTGCCTTATACCTAAAAAGAAACCAGTTTGTTGCTGTAGGTTATAAAATCATGGTAAACTCTATTCACTGGACAGCTGTAAGATAGCTGAGTGTTATATCTTAGCACACAGAGGGAATAGTGGGGTATGGATAAAGGTGCCCAAAAAACAGGAATAACTGCAGCCTTTAAGATTGTCACTGCATCAGGAACCACAGCACACTGATATCCGGGACATAAGCTGCAGCTGTTGCATTCTTTGTGTTAAAAACCACTTCTTAACTAAAGATTGCACAAGAAGCACCTTATACTGGCAAATAAAAAGGGTTGGACATGTGTTTAGTGATCCACAGTCCTCTTTATCAGATGTACGTATGGATGTTCCAGTGTAGGGCTGAAACAATGAATTGGAATAATTGTGATGAATCCATCATTGTAATAACAGTCAACTAATTTAGTAATCGATTAATCGTTAACTGGAGTATACGGACTCTAAGACATTCCTTCCCTTTAGCTGACGGCGACCCACTTACAGCAGCAATTATATAAAAATTGTAAAAAGACATATAAACATTTTACATTTAAGATAAATTTTTCTTTCTGCCAAAATGCTCTATCCAGAACCCCAAAGGTAGAAAAGTTGCAGCCCTAGTCCAGCATATTTTGTTATGGTTCAGTCTTCCAGGAAGTTTGACAGTACTTCATGCTTCCTGCTGCTGACTAGATTTAAATCATTTATTCAGCTAGACATAGTTTTTGCTCATTTTAACCAAGCTGGTTTTTAAACCCATCAGCAGAACCTCAAAATGATCATGCATACCACACTACATTCATGGAGTAATTGAAGAAAAAGACCTCAGGCATAAAGTTGCATATTGTGTATTGGATGGAAATATTTGATATTAGGATAGTATCTTTGTGGTCAAAATTATATTTGATGGAGCTTACATTTTATTATAGTTTTCTTAGAAACGTAATTCTGTTTTTTTTTAAGTTTTTAACAGAAGCGCTGGACATATTATATATCACTCTGTATGAAATAACACTGTTTTTTTGTATTGGGTTGGCTAATGTGTGTGTGTGTATATATATATATATATATATATATAATTTTTTTATTTTTTTTTCCTAACTTGGTGGTATTTATCTGTATTTAAATGTTGTTTTCTAGATGTCTCAGTCTTATTCATCCTCCAAAAGCCCCAAAGTCTCTGGAGATCCCAGTGAGGGAGAAAAGCCTAAAAATGCTGGAAAGAGTTCAGATCAAACTGAATTTGAGAGCAAAAATCCAGATAAATGTTTAAGGGAAAAGGTTTTAAAGGAGGTAGGACTCACCAGCACCGCCTTCATTGGTCCTGCATTTCCTCCACAAGCACCCTCAGCCAAGTCTGACATTGAAGACTCATTAAGTATGTTTTATAAAGAGCTTGAAAAGATTGACACACCAAATGAGCACAGGGATAATCCAGAAAAGGATGTTCAGCCTAACCACAGTCTGCGTCAACCACCAACCAGCAAAGACTCCCAGGATGTACCTGATGGGGAAAGGATCTCAGTGCAAAGTTATGCAGAAAAAAATGGTAACCAAAGCAACAGTGGAACGACTACATCCTGTTGGGCTCATTGGGATCAAAATGAACCATATCAGCTCAAAAATCAGAGGCGTGCAGGGAATGAGTGGGATTATACTCATCCACAAAATGGGCCACCATATCCTAGATTTCAGAGACCACAATTCCCTCACCAATCACACCATTCTGCATACTCGCCTCCACAGAACACTCGAGAACCCTTCGAGATTAACCCAAACCAGCATCAAAATAGTTATTATCCAACATTTTCAAGCTTTCGACCTCCAAACGCGTCCGCCCCTCCCTCTCACAGCTTTCACGAAAACCCTCAGCAGCACTTTGATTGGAATGAACCTTGTTTCTATGAAACAAATTCAAATGATGTAGCTGTAAGGTGGCCTGAAGACCAAAGAGAAGGATTGGCGCATGGTAATGACTACGGCAGGCCGCAGAGATTTCTTTCTGAAAATAAACCATGGGAACAACCGGGTCGCTACCACTCCAATGAAAAGAGGTGTGAATATCGGTACGGTTTGGTACTGATCTTGATGAGGGGGTTACCAGGATCTGGGAAAACAACACTTGCCAGGTGCTCCTAGGAGTAATTTCACTTATAAATATGTTTTTTGGTATTTAGATGAGTTGCTAACTACATAAATATTTTGTTTGTTTAAATGAACAACTATAGAGAGCTACTCTCATCTGGCCCAAGTGGAATAATTCTGAGCACAGATGATTACTTTGCTGAAAAAGAAGGCTACCGCTATGATCCAGGGCTTCTAGGAGCAGCACATGAATGGAACCAGAACAGAGGTGAGGTCTCAATAACATTGAGGATATGTTGATGCAAATGTGAGATTAGAATATGCCATCTTGGGTCAATACAGTCTTTTCTGGAGTGTTCAAATTGTGTTCAATTCCATATCAGCCAAAGATGCCCTGCATGATGGTCGGTCTCCTATCATTATCGACAACACAAATCTGCAAGCCTGGGAAATGAAGCCGTATGTTGAAATGGTAAGGTGTATCTTATGTTTTAAGTTTATAACTTATGTATGAACTTATAAATTATGTTTTTAGCCATAACACAGTGAGTTTTTAAGAATGTAATTCATAAACATTTTTTTTAGAATTACATTTGTTTTATAGAGTGCTTCATTATTTTTAAATGGGCTGAAATAGAAATGTTTCAGTTCTTTGTAGAAAACAAGGATCTTGATAAATTGTGTCAAAACTCTAAGCCCCATTAACAGAGCTGCAAAAAGCCCTAATTGGAGCAAAGGAACATTTACAAAAACTGAAGTCATCCACAATTAATTAAGCATGAATCACACCAGCTTTACAATTTATTTTATAGTTTAGAATGGAAAGGCTTGATCAAGTAATATTACAAAAACGGGAACAAAAGTCTACAGTAAAAGGCATGATCCATTTTGAAATTATCCGAGTTACAAAAGTTTTTAACAGAAGCAGAGTGATTCTGTCAGCATGAAAATATTGCAGATTTTAATTGATGGCCGATAAAATCGGATATTAGTTTTTCGTCGAATATCGCACCGATGTCTATTTATAATGGATCAGGACATCCCTAATTGTTAAATTAGTCACTGTATAACGTAAGAAAGCTTTGAAATGAGTGGTAACCTGGGTGTAAATACACTGGAGTTACAATACTGTAATATCTACCACCTCATAGATTTCTTTTTGGGGGCTGGGGGATTATTGTTTAGTTTTTGGTAACACTGACGTGTTTAAGATGAAATAATTCACCAGACAGAAATAACCAGAGTAAAACCAAAGTGGAGTTTTCAAATTATTACTTTATAAATTTTATCCAAAAGTATTCAAATTTTCTGCCAATAAGGGACACAGAGCCTTATACATTAAAGGGTTCCATAGCCAAGCGTGGATTATTTAAAAATGATGTGCAATCACATTCTATGAGCTTTTTCTAGACCAGTCCAGAGCTTTAATCTGGTTTTCTTTATTCATATAGAGGTTGAAATTGCTGCTGTGCTTCAGATCAGTGCTGAGTAACTCAAATGCGCTTGATGTATTTTGTTTCTACAACATTTGCCAGGAGTTATGAGTTTATGGTTTTAAGGGAATTAAGGTCAGAAACCCTAAATCTCGTAACAAATGGCCAGACTTGTATCCTTTAAATCAGGAGTGCTCAAGTCCAGTCCTCAAGATCTACTATCATGCAACTTTTTGATGCACCCCATTTTTAACACACCTGAATCAAATAAGTGGCACATTACCTTGCCTATGCTGAGCTAAATGAGGGGATTGAGCAATTCGATTCAGGTGTGTTAAAGAGATGCATCTAAAAGGTACAGGATGGTAGCTCTTGAGGACTGGACTTGAGCACCCCTGCTTTAAATTAAAGGGAATCATGTGGGTCCTAAAGCAGCAAAGCAGCCTCACTCCCAAATTCCACATCCTCTGTCATCACTCTGCTCCGCCCCGCTCACATACATCGGGCAGAGACTTTGTGCAGTCATGTTCATCAATGAGAACCGTTCCACATCCACCGCTACCCCACCGCATGTCACCGTCAACGTATGTCTTCTCCATCCCCCGCTCCGGTCCGTTGGAAGCTAGTCGGGTAAAGACCACAATTGCAATCGTATCAAACGGGAAAAAGAATGTAGAGAAGATCCAGTTTGTCAAATATGGTAAAGATATAAGGTAATCCGTAATTACAAATTGGAGTATAATTTGTAATTATGCTCTAGAGCATATGCTCTATGCTCTACTATAGAGCATACAGCATAATTCTTATATATTCCCAAAACTAAGACCGTTTAAATTATTGGATGCAAACTATCAGTACTTCAATATACCAGCAAGCGGATTTCTCATCTCAATCAAAATACTTATTTTATACGAAGAGGCTTAAAAGATTAATCAAATTCAGTTACAAAACCTTCCAAGAACAAACCAATTTCCTATGATTATCCCTTTTACAAAGGTCCACAATGAAAATAAAATGTTTGGGCAGAAACGTGTGTGATTGATGCTGATGGTGAGTTTTGTCATATTAAATAAAACTTTCATTACCGCATCCTTTGCTACTATCAATTTAATAATAAGAATATAATGCATGCTCACCCAAAGCTCCAAGGAAGACGGAGCAAAGCAAGATGGGAGGAACTGCGGAGGCTGTAGGCTTTGCTTTGCGCAGGCGGTTTGGAATGGAGCGGGGCGGTTAGAGAGGATGTGGGATTTCAAAGTCACTCTGCCACCATGTTTGACTGTCATTGTGGTTTAAAATGCATTAGAATAAGGTCAAGTTATTCATTTTAGTACATTCAGCAAAGTATTGTGTTTAATCACATTGTATTAGGTGTTGAATTTAAATCTTCTCTAAAGGTATAGAGGATCTTTTATTTACGGGTGGATCATCTAAGTAAGTGGTCCTCCTAATTATCAGTCATTCTTGGTGATATGTTTATGTACGGCCATCCTAGGTGCTCTTCCCCTTAGCTGTCTTTTGCACACTTTTATGCGTATATCTGCAGATGCTCTGGCACAGTAAGCTTGTATGAGCTATGAGAACAGCAATTTTTTAACAGAGCGTGCAAAAAAGTGAAATGGGCTCGCGCAGGCTCTCACACGCACATATTTTCAAAGTGGAGAGGGCGGGTCTTTTAAAAAAACTCACGAAAAATCTTCCACAATACCTTTTTTAGTAAAGAAAAAAAAAAATGTACTTTAATTTACAGAATCTTGCAGAAATATTCAAATAAAGCATATAGTTGAAAGTAGACCGCTAATCTTTGATGGAGTTTTATTTTCAAAGTGTTAAAAGCACAAGTAGTATGCATTATGCTAAATTACCAAGATGCAAACTTTAAGAAGTAAAATGGGTTTAATTGAGTATTTCTGAATTTATAGTTGTTGGATGTTCCTGATATGCCTTTACTTGACTTTATAGCAAAAATGTTGTATTAAAGAAAACATAATCTGAACATAGATTGCAAGAATTGGCCCATAATATTAGCAACACATATAATCAGGAATCATTTAGACTGATGTCAGAGTCTATGTCGGTATTGGGCCTTATAAAAAAGCATTTTGGTGCAGGCTTCTACCTGAAATACAATTTGTGAGCTAATCTGCGGGATGAAAGGTGCACTGCGAGCTGCAGGGCAAAGTACATGAATCTGCAAACAAATAAAGAGCAGTGTAATAAAGGTGGTAATCATTGAATCTGATGATCTAAAAGTATTGTCCAAAACTAAAAAAAGATAAATGAAAGCGGTCTAATTTTGTTATAAAAACACTTTAGAATCATTATAACCCAAACAATATAAATGTGCTTCTAAAACTGATAACTTTAACATTCTTTTTAAAGTATCCACATACAGACCAGAGAATTGGTTGTAAACAAATTCCAACAAACAGCCTTTATATAAAATCCTTATATTAACAAAATAATTATTTTAATTTAACAAAACTATTCACTGCATATTATTATTTTAACTTCTTGCTTTTCCTAATTTCTATGACAGTAAAGTATTCAGGAATGTGTGAATTAGGTACCCACTAACATGAAAAGGATAAAATTTATAGCTGTCTACAGGTCTTTTTCCTGTTGGGTGGTGATAATCGTTTCCCTTGCTGATATTCGATGTAAGATGTTTGAATTTATTATACAGGCCTTGGAGAGAGGATACCGAGTGGACTTTTGTGAACCTGACACCCGCTGGAAATTTGATCCTTATGAACTGGAGAAGTAATTATTATTTTTGTTATATAGAAATATTTGAATTTCAAAGAAAACGTTTCTATCCCTAACACGGTGCTGCTTTACCTTCAGGAGGAATAAACATGGCGTTCCTCAGGAAAAGATTGCTCAGATGATGGATCGCTTTTCGTCTCCAATCTCCATAGACATCGTCATGAGCTCCCAGGAACCAGCTCATGTCAACCAGAGGCGTCGGCCAGAGCAGCCGCACATCAGGAAAAAAATGCGTTATTGTTAATTTCTTTTTTCTTTCTTACAGGGAATAGACAGCTAATTGATTTGACCTCTAGATCAAGACTTTCAGAACATTTTTATAGTCATGTAAATACTTATTTTTGTGATTTACAGTTTTTAATTTATTACTAGAAATTTATATGAAAATAAAAAGATATATTTTTAAAGTAATTATTTTTATTTTTTTGGCATCAAAGGGGATCAGCCTTTTTTTTTTTTTCTAAATTTTTTATTGAAAGTCATATTTCACACTTTTGTCAACGGTATGTACATTTTATAAAATACACAGCTGTGTTGTTGATGGCATGGTTTCTGTTAACTTTTTATTTTTCCTTGTTAAATTACTGGTGCTGCTTTTTCACTTTGATAAAATCTCTGACAAAACCTCTCCTCCTTTTCAAGATTTATTTGTCTTGGGTTCAATCAACACAACACAGGGTACATTTTAACTGAGCAAAGGGTTACACATGTTGATTATTTAGAGGATTCTCCAACTCTAAATCTGCATGTTACTGCTCTATACTCAGATTAGGGGATAACTGGTATTTTATGCATTTATTGTATAGTCAGAACAGGTTACATTGTATTTCAGTGATTCATTTACTATTTTTGCTCTGTTGGTTTCTATAAGATTCATTAGTTGAAAAAAGAAAGTTAAGTTAGTCTAGGCCAGGGGTGTCAAACTGGTTCCAGAAAGGGCCGTGTGGCTGCAGGTTTTCAGTCCAACCGAGCAAAAGCACACCAGACTCCAGTCATCTCAGCAGGTCATCATGTTCAGAATGGACTCACCTGATAAGGTGACTGCAGTCTGGTGTACTACTGCTTGGTTGGAAAGAAAAGGGGGCACAGACTACAGGATGACACACCAGTAGGTGGCAGTAATACAGAACAGTCTATTTTGAGACCAAATGTAATTTAAAATTGTTTTAGTTGATAACACAAGTAGCATTGACTGTATTTTTTTGTGTGTGTGTGTGTTTGGAAGATTTTTTTTTCCATGTGGCACTAATTGTGGGTTTTGCAGTGACTTCCTATAATGGCTTTCATGTAAAAATGTGTTTTTAATTGAAAGTTATATCCATCTCAACTGAAAAAATATATTCTTTGGCTGAGCAAAGCAAACAAACCTAGAAATAGAATTCATGATACATTTATTGGACAATATTTTAGTCTTAATAAAATTCCAAGAAAAAGTTAAAAAACAAAATCACTGGACTTTTTAAGTAAGCTTTCTCAGTTCTAAATGTCCCAGTAGTGTGGCGCGCTAGGCTTTATTGAACTGCCCATCAAAAGCCTTGTTATGTCTTAGAAAACATGCAAATTTAAATGAAACAGGTTTCAAGCTTCTGAATGGGAAGCAAAAAGTCTAGAACTTGGAAAAAAAAAAAAGTGGTCCAGTCCAGTGGTTTTTTCTCTTTTTTTGGAATGACTATAACCTGGATGACTGAGAATCTTCACCAGCGTCCTCATAAAATATTTGTTACAGCATTTTCTCAACCCCTGAAGTTGAAGATAAAGAGGTTGCTCTACATTATGTCCCCATTTTAAGCTGTGGAGCTGCAGATTTGAACACTATCTCATGAAACATCATCATTTGACTGCAGAACCTCCATTGCGTTGCCAAAACTATTTCCGAATCTGTATGAGAAAGTGTGAGGCTGATATTAAAGGATCCTTTCTCCGAATAGATAATAGTGTGAAGGTTAAAAAAAATATAACACCACCCTAACAGTCTGAAGTGTTAAGAGATTCACCAACAGAAACAGAATCTTGTTTTTGTTCTGATCACTACTATATAATCGGAGTATAAATGTAAAGTGATAACACACCATCGAGCAGTTTCAATGTAGATCCCTCTTTTCTGACAGTACAGGGTTCCTCTGTCTCTCAGGAAATAAATCGTGGACTCCTTGTTCCCTCTGGTGCTCATTAGAGTCGCACACAGGTGCTGTAAGGTTTGACATTTTTTCTTTTAATCACTTCTGTGTGAGAAGCCAGGAATGATTGTTCTCTCAGTCTAAGATTATTTTTACTACTTGTTTGATGTTCTTGGGGGTGAATTTTCTTTTCATGGTATTTTTTTACTTCAGTGAAAACCCTCTGATGTTAGATTTTGAAAATCTCTATGATGTTTCCTTTATGTTACAAATCTAGGTCATCCATATTCTTTTCTTCTACATTTTTCACAGCATGCAGCGACAGAATGAGAAGCGCTTTTTCTAAAAAAAAAAAAAAAAGTCTTTCACATCTTATAGCAATAAACCTGAAATGCATGATTAGAAAAGGAAAATACCCTCAGAAAAAAAGCAACAAAAAATCAAACTTGTGCAATAAAAACTGTTGCAGTTATTTTTTTTTTTTTAAATGACACCAAAGGCATCACTTGTCTGCCTCTAATTCCTATTTTTTTTTTTACCGTACTTTGTAGTTTTTCTCTGACCTTACAGAAGGCCTTTTTTACTTTAACCATATAGGAAGGTGACACTTTCCTCAAGCTAAGGCTCTGAAGACCACATCAAATTTGACAAGTGACACTTCAAAAAGTTTCTGAGCTGTCACATTTCTGGAATTTATCTTAATTGCTGCCACTATGAGGAGACGTAATGACTGAATTTATATAAAGGTTGCATGTGAGTATGCTGGAATTTACTGATCTCTTTATGGAAACCTAACCTTTCACAAAGATTTGTTGAAGCAGTGTCTGTTTTTTTTTTTTTTTTTACACCAGTTAGTTTGAAAATGAAATTACTGATTTGTATAGCTAAGCCTATACATGGAGGATATAAAAGAAGAATGGGTACTCTCTTTATAATGTCCTGAGATCAACTGAAAGGTCCCAAATCCATAGAAGATAGTGACAACCCTACTGTGAACTATAAAGGAACACTGAGAGGAGACTATAGTGTTTGTCTGATCTCTGGCAGAATCTGATGAAGATTGGAAGGACAAATATGTTTTTTGTATTTAAAGCATTGAATGAGATTAGGCAAGCATGCCCATGGGGATCATGGAAAATCCCTGCATGTAAAGGCTGCCAGTTATTTCCCGGCTGGATGATCTGTAAGTTCACATGGTTCAAGAACTTAATAGGTCGCCTTATATAAAGTTGAATCAAACAGTGGTCTGTGAGAGGGGAATTATGTTTGAGGGTTTATTGTTGAACTATGATCTGACACAATCACTTCTTCCTTCTACACTGTCATTGGCCTTTAATTTGTTGGTCAGTTGCTTAATTTAAAATCACTAAATGTATCACATTGGCATTTTTTTTTTGCTTCACAAATACAAACTTTAGATTTAGAATCTTGAAATTTCTCTATAAAATAAGTAATGCTTAGTTAGTTTCTAGACATTGAAGGCGATCTAAGGGACAGATTCATATCTGGATGCAAGATGCAGTAGCTACAAAGAAGAGGGTATGAGATGCTGATGAAGGTCATAGTCATTCCGTAAAAGTTCAAAAAATATCCACTGGACTTGGTTTGTCCTGTGGATATTTTTTGAACCTTTAGTCTCTGTTTTTTATCCAGAAATTTTATTTTGTTGCTCACAGAGGACAGGAAAAAGAAGTTGACTCAGGACATAAAGATAGCATCAAGGAGAAATCTTAATGAACAATAATTCTAAACCATCTCATCCAGTTTACAGCACTGGTTTTATGATTTTGCATCCTTTTGGAGGTGTTTATATGGATTGATATCTCAGATATCCAGCTGCAGGGACAGGACGACTGGTTGCAATTGAAGGAAAGATGAATGCGGCCAAGTACAGAGATATCCTGAAAGAAAAGCTCTTCCAGAGTGCTCAGGAACTCAGACTGGGCTGAAGGTTCACCCTAAACGCACAGGAAACGTAACAAAGGAGTGGGTTTGGAACAACTCTGTGACCATTCTTGACCGGCCCAGCCAGAGCCCTGACCTAAGCCCAATTGTGCATCTCTAGAGACCTGAAAATGATTGTCCATCAACGCTCACCATCCAACCTGACAGAACTGGAGAGGATCATTGCTGTACTAGCTCAAAAGGGTGCTTCTACTCAATACTAAGCAAAGGGTCTGAATACTTATGATGATGTGATATTCCAGTTTTTCTTTTTTAATAAATTGCAAATGGGGAATGAATATTAATGAGAAATAATATGAACTTTTTGGATTTAAGCAAAAGGTTGCAATGAAACAAATAGTGAAAAATGTAAAGGGGCCTGAAAACTTTCCATACCCACTGTATATTACTATATAGGTTTTTAATGGTTGTATCAAAACCACAACAACCAAATCCAATCATTCCCACAGTTGGTTCTTTTATGTTCTACCCTGAAACAAAGTTGATTTCTGAAAAGTTTTCCTTCCTGCAGGGTTTGCTTAAAGAATCTAATTAATGAACTTTTCCACTGATCCCACAGGCCACACCTTAAGAAATGTTTAGCTTGAGAAATTAACTATTTCCTGGAGCAGTTATCACATGGGTGAGACCTATTTGATGCTGCTGTTCATGCAAAAGCCAAAGCTGAGCTTTTATACATGGACTGTCACATGTTGGGCCTTCAGAGAACGAGCCTTTCTGTTGTCATTGATTACAATAAGTAGAGTGTCCTCTTACTCATGCAAAAGATCTCTCCTTAATGTGTGTTTTTCTTCAAAATGCTGCAGCTTGTTCACCTGCATTGATCCAAATATTTCAGCAATGACTCAGTGTTCAGATTTTTTTCTTTCTTTCTTTTTCAAACTAAATTCCTCTCACATACCAGACTTGGTCACAGGGGATTGACTCATGTAGGACAACCAAGACTTGCCAACCATTTCTGCAGCAGTGACACAATTTTGCAGCTCAATAACAGGAAATCACAAACAGGAAAGGTCATCTGTGGAGAGGTGAAGAGGTTGTGCTTCGTCATGACAAAAGTGCTCTACAAAAAAAAAAAAGAGAGCAAATCAAACAATGTAAAAGAGGTGTGTATTTGCATCCGTGTGTGTTTGTGTGCACACATTTGCATGCCAGGTGGAATCAGGTTTAATACACGAGGAAGCCAGAAGCAGAGAGGAGCAGGCGTGCTTGGAATGATGATTATGTAAGCCGGCTGTGATTGGTGATGTGTGCTCCCCGAATGGCAGTGATGAACCACTTAGTGCTGCTAATGATCATAAGGACAAGAAAGCCAGACAAAACAATCAGAGCCGGCTCACCGGAGGAAAACAACTAAACACAGGAGGGAGATTTGCTCTTATATTAACACAGTTCCTCTTATTACATAGTCCTTGATGAGTTTCCAAGTGGAAGATCAGGATGAACAGGAAACAGGGTGCAAATAATTTTAAAAATAAGATTGAAGTTGTTTGGTAATCTTTCTATTTAGGTTGATGGAAAAAGGGGATGGAGCATGAAATTAAAGCTTTGGTGAGCTCCCTGCTGTCGTTTAGGTTCTTTATTGTGTTTGTCACGTGAGGCTGACAGCCAATAACAACCGTGTGCAGCCAGCACAGCTTGTCGTTTATGTACACACCAACGGTTGATCAGTGGAGTCAAGTTTATCTCAACCAGACTGGATATGGTGTTCATACTTTTCAAAATAAAAGTTTTAAAAAATCGGTAGAAAAAAAAAAAGATTCTTATCTGTCAATGCAACAGCTAGTTTTGCAGCTCAATGCTGGAATGAAATGAATGTAGATGGTTTGTAAGAGTTGCACGTTTCAGGGCAAAAGAATCATAAAGTCACAAAAATCCTTTGGTAAAGTTGAAATGCACAAAGACTTCCCACCGAGCAAAAAGTGGTTGAATAGATGACATGATTTACGTTCAAACGTCTATATTTGGTTGAAAAGTCAAAGATGAAAAGCTGTAATTTTCAGATCACTGATACTGTAAGACGCTGCAAATCCAGTTTTCTACTACTGGACTAAATCAGACCGACCAAACACAGCCCAATTTTCAACATCTATATCTGGACTAAATCCAGACTATGAAAGAACAGATTTAGCCTAAAAACCCACGTCAAATGACGTCTGGTGTTTGGGGTTTGTCTTCAGCAACAAATTTAATTTGTTACTCAGTATTTTTTTTTTAAAATGAAACTTTGTAGTTATCTACTTCTCACATTCAGGCCCCAAATCCAACGGTTTCTTTTTTAGCAAAGATGCCCGACAGTCATTAACGATATAGTTCCCTATATCTGTCGATTTCCACTTCACCCCTCCAATGATTTCCCATGACTTGATAGAAAAAACAACATGAAGTATTTTTAACCACAGTGTGTATGCTTCATGTTGACTGAAATGGTTGAAAATGGTAGTGTTTCATATAAGGAGCATAATGCTAAAAAGTAACTGGGTGGCAAATCTGGACCGGGGCCAACAACGGCCATCTCATTTACCCGATCATCTTATTTACCTGCTCAAATTAAGGAAACAAGCATTAATTCTCAGAATGGTTTTACTGTTTAAACTAAATCAATTTTGTCACTGCAAAAAAATATTATTAAGATTAAGTAAAAGTAAAACATTCTTTAAATAAGTGTATTTAGTCTAAATTTTGGTGGGTAAATGAGATGATCTGCTAATGGCATGATGATTTTTACTTTTAAAACCTTATTAGATATTATGCACTTGAAAAAAGACAATGCAATTGTTTTTTCTTATTTTAAACACAAATGATCACATTGGTAATGTGTCTCATTTAGGCCTACCTGCTTAATTCAAGCAAAAAAATTCAGTTATTTTGAGGGAAATTGACTTACTTACGTTTAATTTTGTGCAGTGGTATGATGATATAGTTTTTATTTGTTAGCTCCTGCAACCTCTGGCTTGTGGCTGACTAAACAAGCACTTTTTAATTTTTTTAATCTTTGTGTTATTCTTTTGTTCTGTGCCCCCTGGTAAATTTAGTCAAGAGCCCTCCTGATTCTCAGAAAATCTCATTTGGATGCCTTGGTAATCAACTTTAACTTTGAAATCCAACAGCAGAAACTCTTGAGAAAAGATTTGGATTTGAGGTCAATGCCTGCGTATTTTGCCTTGAAGAACCAAAAACAACTGAACATCTCTTCTATTTGTGTCGAGTCACGGGTTGCTTTTGGCAGAACCTGCATATTTGGTTAAGTAACAAAATAGATATTATAACAGCTTTTGAGACAAATCAAATATTAACATACAATAATGACATCCCAGAGGATTTATCTGACATGGTAAATGTAATGTAATGTAAATATGGGAAGATATCATATACATTTATGTAAATGGAAAAAACAAAAGCCTTCATTAATAAGTTTCAAACACAAACTCTAGATCCTCTATTCATCTTTATCTGTGTTAGCCGACAATTATGGACATATACAAAAACTACGTAGTGTCATAATTTCTGTTTTTTTTGACAAATTGCTAAAGTTGACATGATTCAAGAAACTGTCTTGTTGCAGAATGAGTCTGTCTTTTATTTTAATTTATTCTTTTTTAAGTTTTGTATGTTTCCATTGGTTGTAATATTACTGTCTGTTTATTTATTTCTGTTGCCTTGCACAAGTTAATTGATCTCCTGTATATAACTGTATATTCTATCTCTATTCTTCCACTCTGCAGAATCTGTTAGTTCAATCTCTAACGTTCTGCCCTCTCTGCTTTTTCTCATAGTAGCTTCACCTCATTTGTTCCTGTTTGGCTGTGACACCATCCTGGAGAGAAATATCAGCTGTGTTGCTGCCATCAACACCTTTGTTTATAGATGTTGGAGATCTGCCTGTTTTTCCATTGTCCTGTTTCTCTGACTGTGACTGACTGTATGTGCTCTCTTCATCCTCTGACATAGGAGCTGGCTCAGAGCTCGTATGCCTGGCTGTGTGTTTCCTGGACGGGGCCGCCTATTACAGCTGCTTTTTGTATCTCTGCTTCTGTCTCCTTGAACCCCAGTCGGCCTCAGCAGATGACAGCTCACACTGAGCCTGGTTCTGTTGGAGGTTTCTTCCTGATTGTAGTGGGGGAAAAGTATTCAACTATTCATCCTAGTTAAATAAACAGAGATCTATTGATTTTACTCAGTCGGCACATTTATTTTATCATATCTTTGCAAAGAGAGAACAGTTCATCATACAGCCCTTATGGCACAGCACTGAGCCCTGTTCTGCCTGAGCAGCGTGCATCCCCCCCTTACTTACAACAATGGAAAGTATTCAGAGGCAAAACAAATTACAGACACTTTGGTTAACAGTAACATGTTATGAATAAACCTTGAGAAATAATCTATGTTGCTATGGGAAGAAGGTATGTCTGGTCTATAAACACCATCCTGCAGAGAATTGTGTAGGCTTAAAGGTGAAACAGACTGAGTGAAACATTTTGTAGTAAGTAAATAGGATAAATTAATATATAATAGAAGAGAAATCTAAATTTTCCGACAACAATTTTCCCTGTTAAAAGGGAGCTTTTCCTCTCCACTGTCCCTACAAGCATGCTTAGTGTGAGTCAATGCAATCAACTGGTTTTCCTGAGATTGAAAACTTTAATCCAATTTGACTTTATGATCTGGTGAACTGTAAAGTGCCTTGAGATGACATGTGCTGTGAATTGGCGCTATATAAATTGAATTGTTTTCTCTTTTTTTTTTGTAAGAAAGTAGAGTGGTGATTCCTACTTGAAAATGTAAATTAATGTCTTTTGTTAAAAAAGAAAAAAAAAAAGAAAAACTTTAACTTTGAAATCCTCACAGGAAGCCTTGCCCAACACTTTCAGCACCTTGACAGCAGAAGAGCTCCAACATGCTATGATTAGGATGCCGTGCTGCGGCTGCGGTGCAGGCGGCCACACACGCAGACAGGAGGTGTTTCCTTAGATCGTGGGCTCCACTCCACGCCGGTCCCAATGTTCCCGGTGCCTCTGCCACCAGGAGGACATGCCTGTCATCCTCATGACGGCTCCAACATTCAGATCCATCGCCTGGAGCTCTGAGCGAAGTTTAACTCAGGCGACCTGAAGATAGGGGCGGATAATTACATCACAACAAGAGTAAGCCAATTTAAAACTGCTGCTTGATATATACATATAAATATTCAACTAAATGTAAACAAATGCATGAATAAATTCTTATCTAAGAGGGAATTACTTTTAATTTAGAAATCATTTGACAGATTCTATAAATGAATGTTGGAAACTTTATTACAAAACTAGTCTAACATAAAGGTCAATCGATTTATTCTTACAATATGCATAACACTGGTTGTATAATTGATTTAAATAATAAAGTATCATTGATTAACGTTTAAGTCCCAGGGACCGGTGCCCTTGCATGAACTCATTTGTCCCTGCATGTCTTAAGGACAATATCAGCTGTTATTTAATAAATGAGACCTCTCCATATTTTCATGGAGCCATAACTGTTGGCAGACCTGATGGGTAATCTGTTCCTCCTGCTGCTCAGATGCTGTGTTTTCACCACATCATGCTGCTTATCTCACCATCCAAATGATCTGGGTTTAAAAGCTTAAAATTTTTCCTAAATACATCTATTTGACACCTTGAAATCTTCTTTTAGATCTGACAGTTAACAATTGGCATCAAATTGGCCCTTTTTTCCAACAACTCTGTGTTTGTCAGGCATTGCATCTGTCTGCTGATTTAATTTTAGCTCCAATTGTCAGTCAGAGCCAGTGCTGTGGCTCTCCCCAGCTGTTGGTTACATAATGTCAGATGAGGAGCACCACAGTCTGCTGAGGAGGAAGAATAACTTAAATTGTAACAGATAATGTAGTAAATGAGGCTGCATTAAATGTAAAATATGTGGAGGTTTCACTTCCACTTTGCTGGGATGATGTAAGTAATCCAGAAATAGGTCTGAGAGAGGGATGCGGGGTAACCTACATTTACACGAAGAGTATAAAGGCAAGCTTCCTGGAGGAGAGGAATCTGACATCATATACGTAGACAAAAATAGCCATATAATATGTTTCACTCATTCTTTCGCATGCACGTCCTATTTCCATAATCCTTATTATGTGCACCGCAATACTATTAAAAGATCAGGCTGGCTTTTTCAAGGAGCTAAGGGGAATTTGATGGTTCATTAGATTCTACAGCTGTGTTTTAATGAAATGAATAGAAATGTCTTCACTGACATACTTAAACCAACTAGTTAAGTTCTTTCGTTCAGCTGGAAAAGAATATAAAATGACCAAATAAATGTAAAGGTGAAGCATGCCCCTTTCAGCTGAAGAAGCAGGTGGTCTTGCTTTATTTTTAATATGCACTGCTGCTTTATTCTGCAGCCTGTGCAGGCTGTGCTCCGGCTGTGAGGGCTTTGATCCAACACTTTCAGAAAATCACTGTCATGCAAATGAATAACAAGTATTAACTTTTCACCAATATCTTTTAGGGAGGCTTTGTAACATATGTTTGTTTGTTTTTTTTCAAATAAAAAAAAATAGGTTTTGAATTTGAGTTTCTACTCTTTATCCCATTATGTGTAAAGCACACAAAGGCTTTCTGGAATGCAGTAAGTTGTGTATTTGTAGTTATGGAGATTATTTTGGGCTGCATTTGCAGAAAGATAAATATCAGCTTATTTTATAAATAACACAATCATGTTTTATAAGGTGTTAATAACTGGAGACACAGAGATAAATTAACTCCTGGCCAGAATTGGATCAGCTTTAGCTTGTTTGGCCCTAATAGGTAGAGATAGGCTGGTAAAGAATACAATACTTGAAGATATATATTTTCCTATTAATTGCAACGTTCATATGAACTGACAGTAGGATCTGATGTTAACAATCTTCAGTGTAGATGCTATTAATGACTGATTCAGACTTAAAGTTAAAATGTGTAGAGAATTGAAATGAAGTCATCTCATCAGAGGTGAGATAAACACTATTGTTTCCAATGACTTGAGAAATTTCTGCATTTCATTCAGGCTGGAAGAAAGAATGAAAGAGCATAAGATTTAAGGTAGGGAACAGGAAGGCTACAGTAAATGGATTACAGCTCTGCTCGCTCCTTTGAGCTGTCGGTTACTTTCTGTTTTTGAACATGCTGGACACTGAAATGTCAAGACTTTTAAAAAAATCTAAGATATAGGTAAAGGTCTATATTCTCTAGACTTGGTGAAACTGGCCACACCAATCATTCAAATTGTTAAAATGCTTAAATTTCAAAAAAGTCAATCATTTTTGGTTTAAATTAAAAGTGAAACCTTGTATTTTGTTATTGCTCTTTCGCATTCACAATATATGGAATTTGCTTACAATATAGATTGTTATGCTTTTAGGAGAGTTTGTGTGTCAGTCTGTCCGTCTGTCTGTGGACAGGATAACTTGAAAAGTTATGGATGGATTTTAATGAAATTTTTATCAGATGTGTCCCTCCTGCCAAGAACAATTCATTACTTTTTTGTGATCATCCAGATTATAATCTGGATACAGGATTTCTTAAAAAGATTCTCTACCATTGTGAGAAAAGGATATTTGATGGAACTAAACCAGAGGGTGGCAGCGGTGACTATTGACAGCCTCAGAATCGAACTCAGAAAGTATTTTACAGAAGACAAAAACACAACATCAGGGAACATTGATGGTGTGTTAGCAGGATGAATTGAAACTTATGATCAGATTTTATGGACATGTTTTATATTTATATTTTGTAATCATCCAGATCATGTGCGTAGTTTAGCTATAGGTCTGGGCGAAATTTGCTGCTTGGCGGGGTTTCTTATTGAAATCTCATGCTGGAACACTATTTTAATGCTGATTCTTTATATTTGGTTCTTAAAGAGAAATTGAAACTGTCCAAAATCTTCATCAGTCAATGACAGCTTTTCAAAAAAAACACTGATCAGTCGGCTACAAATTCCAGATTGCTGCATTTTTATCAATAATTTCTTATTCATTCCTGTTTTTCGTTAAGGTAAAATACAATTAACTGTGTAAAATGATGATGTTTAAAGTCTAGCTTTCAAACTCTTTTGCTGAAACTTTTGGACATTGTTTATTTCGGTATATTCAGTTTTAATTCCATGAAATCTGACGGAGGCAATAATTCCATCACAAGGTCAAAACCACACCAGTTGAGTTAGATTACTGCATCGTCAGACATTTTCCCCTAAAATATCAATGTTATCCGTTATATATAATCAAATTTCTCTGTACTGCTCTGCTTAAGGGGAATTGAAGCAGCAGGCTTCAGGAAGGTGGGACTGCATTCTAAGAACATTCATGGACTGAAGGGATGGCTATGAATAACAGAGATCAAAGATAAATAATCTGTGAAGGTTTGAGGAAAGACTTTCCCCAGAGGGCATATTGTATAATACAAAACTCAATGAAAGCCTGAAAGCTGAACCATTTATTATAATGGTAATATATAAGCCTCTCTTAAGATTAAAACCTCAAAATCATATTTCCTTTCATGTGTGAAACCAAAAATTTCCTCCACTTAAATCCAGAAGTAGCAAAATTAACTTAAAGATTATGCATGGTGTTCATTTTTCCATTACCAGAGATCAGTGTTTTTCTGTCTTTAACTCTTAAATAATACAAAACTGCTGCAGAAGTGAAGCTGCTTCGAAGATAACTACTCTGTTTCTTGGGGAACTGGATTTTGGACATAAGAGGGCCAGCTGATGCTGCAGGTACTTCAGGCACACAGCAGAACATTTGGTATTAAATTACCATCTGTCAGAGGATATTTCTCTATTTAAACATGCTAAGTAAATTCAGTGCTTTGCAAAAGTCTTTTTTTTTGTCAATTTTAACCTTATAGACTAACAGTAAGTATTTGGTGATATATATATATATATATATATATATATATATATATATATATATATATATATATATA